AGAAACCTACAACAGTGTCCACAAAAAGGAGTCTTCAGTGTGAAACACCAATATGCATCAAAGTTAATATTCTGGCTACCCAAGTAATAATTCAATTTGAATGAACATTTTAGCATCCATTGAAGCAGTCTCTTTAAAACTAGATTTAAACTCAGATACAACTGTTTCTTGCCAATTGTTTCTTTTAACAGTTCCATTGACTTATAATACCAACCCAATAGCAACCCTTTACCAACCCATTTCATGAGTGGGTCGCCGTCGTCGGGAGTCTGCCATCGTCGAGAGTAGTGGGTTTCAAGAGTGGGTCGCCGGTGAGGCTGGGTTCAGTGGAGGGTCACTGGTGAAGCTGGGTTGGGTGGAGGAGAAGATCGTGAGGGTGAGGGTGAGGGTGAGGTGAGTGAGAGTGAGGGAAATTTTTAATTTGTTTTGATTATTTTATTTTATTTTTTTGGACAGATTTGGACCGCCAGATCTGTTTGGATGCATCTGGACCGCCCCAAGTAGGAACTCAAGGAGAGGGTATAAGGAAAGGATCTGAACTCTTCATTGGCTCTGCCCCACTTTTTATTTTTTTTAAATTTTTTTATGCGACCCTTGTCCCACTCTTGCTTGCCCCTTCCCTGCAGGGGAAGGAAAAAGAAAAAAAAAAAAGAAGTTTATACCGTCGTTCCAAAATATTACTTCTTTATTTTATTTTTTATTATTTTAAAATATTATTTTTTTAAAAATTTAAAAATTAAAATAATATGAATTTCTTATTTTGCCTTTCTTTTAAATTCATTAACAATATAAAAAGTATAATTATGACAATTAATATTTCCAAAAAAATATACTATCAAAGGGTAATTTTAAAAAATTAATATCTTTAGGACATGTTTGATTGACAGAATTAGAGTATGGAATTGGGATTATTAATCCGTGGGCCCAATAATCTTGTATTTGTTTTGAAATTTTATTTCAGGATTATTAATCTAACAAATTTGTAAAATTATTAGTAATGGGGTAAGAGTGGGATTATATATCCTGAGTTGGAAAATAAAATAAAAAAAATTCTTTTATAGCATATGTTGATATACTAATTGGTATACTAATTGGTACATATAACACCACTGTAAGTCTTTAGATTTCAAATTTTACTTTTCTTGGGGCCAAAGCGAATTATACCTAATGTCAGAAGTGTAGATTTGAAACCCTACAGAGGTAAGAATTCATGACTTACTGCTAAAAGTGATACGTGGGATCTCGACTCCTTATAGAGTATAATTCCAAAAATCATCCCTTTGTGATTAGTTATTTTTTTTTTGGTAGAACCCAATTATTTTTTAATAATTCCTTCATTTGAAAATATTAGTAAATTATACTATTTTGTATTGTCCCAAAATATTAGTCCATTTTCAAAAATTAAGGATTAAAGTAATATGAATTTCTTATTTTGTCCTTTTAAATTCATTAACATAAAAAATACAATTATGACAATTGATATTAAAATATTTATCAATAAATCCCATCTTACGAACAATTATACCAATCAATCCCATTTTTGAAATGTTGTTCAGATAAGTCCTACTGGTGGAGATGTTTAGGTCAATGTGATCCTATTTTCAAATTTGATAGTGAGTTGTGGACAGTTATGCCCTTTCAGAAATTTTTCCGTTTTTAGTGCTTATATTTTTAACTTTTTTAGAATATAATTTTTTCGTCTCTTACAGTTAAAGTTGAAACAGAAAAATATTATAGATAAAATTAAAGGGATTAAAATAAAATTTAAAATCAATTATAAAGGTCACTGGTATAATATATTCATTATATCATTGTTCTCTATAATTTGTTTTGATTCTAATGTTGTCCTTCTAATTTTGCATCTAATTTTTTTCTGTTCCAAATGTTAAAATGACAATTTACTTAGATTACAAAAATTAATGATTTAATTTACAATTTAGTTATTTTGTTTCTCTCTTTTGTAAGAGATAGCCAAGGTAATACTCTAAATAACAAGAAATTTTAAATACAAAACGAACGACACTCTTCAATATAGATCAAGGACTAAATTTTTTTAATTTTTTATTATTTTTATGAAGATTTGCTTGAATTTTTTATTTTTATTTTTTTTTTTATTTTTTTATTTTTTTATTTTTTTGGCCTTGATTTGGTTTGATTGTTTGTTTTATTTTCTTGTCCTAGGTTGCAAGTTCACTGGTAGCCTTGGATCTTCCCTGAAATCAAGATAGGGAAAGCGGTAATGTTTATTAGATAAATTAAATTGGTAGCTTTTTTATTTTGTATTTTTAATTTATTTAATTTTGATTTTAATTTTAAATTTTGTATCAATTTAATTTAGTTGACAACACCAACTAATGTTTTTAAGTAAAATGGTTAACGAGAAGATTGAGATGTACTCACTTCACTGATAAAATTTATAATTTCATCCCTAAAAGTGTAATTTCATGTTACTCATGTGCGCACATTTCATAATTTTTTTTAAAAAAAGTTACTGATTATAGTCAATTAAATTCAATTGAGATAATAAAAAATTTAAGATCAAAATTAAATTAATTAAAATTACAAATATCGAAATCACACCAAGCCAAAATAAAGAACTGTGGTTAAAATTTGCACATATGTATTTTGTAATGAGTAATGGTTGTTTGTTTGGTATGCATGAGGCTTTTCTCATATCACACACAAGCTTATCATGCCAATTACTCATTTTTGTGAATGAAATGTTTCTCCCCTCCCTCTTTCTCTATGAAATTTTTGTAGATGAGTTTCGTATCTATCTTTGTGGAAGAAAGTGCCAAAATTTATAAATTTTTATCAAATGATTTTGTATTTTCAAAATAAGAAAGTGAATGTTTACAGATTTTTTAGTGAAAGAATTTGTTAATTTCAATATAAAAAAGGGTTGTTCCCAAAAGTAATTATCAAAAACACTATATTAAACAAAATTTTCATATCAAGTTTCGATTTTCTTTTTTAGCAAACAAAAATGCTAAAGTAGTCCAATTATTTAACAGGAGCTTTAATCAAGAATATATCCAGAATTTAAACTTTAGAGGATAAAAATACATATCACTGTTCATTTATTGTAAAATTTTAAATTTTAATTTATACCAACAGAAAAATTGAATAGTATTATTATTAATTGAATATTCTTTGTCAACATAGTTGAGAATAAAAATATAATCGCAACATATTTTTTTTTTGTTTGCATTAACTTAACCAAAATTGTAACTATTATTATGTCTACTCTCCGTCTATTAAAGTTAATTATTTGAAAATATAATTTTTTCTTATTTTTTTAAACTTGAGAATTTGCTAGTGAAATGTAGAAAAATGACCGAAAAACTACAAAGAAAGATTATTGGCCACATATAAAGTAGACACCATTGCTATGATTTCTATTGGAGAGACTTGCTAAATGCTTTTTTTCACTACTTTATTTGGTTTATTGGTAATTGTTTTGTTATTACTTTCTACTTCCCATGTGAAACCCACCATTGCAATTCATTTTCACCTTGTTTTCATACTCAAATAAATGTTACATTTGTGATCATCAAAAAGCATAAGAAAAAAAAAAATTAATACAAAAATAGAAAGAAAGAAAAGGACAAACAGAAAAGAAGAAAGTATAACGCGAACACAATAATTAAACCGTAGAAATAAAGGTGAAAATGAATTATAATTGTGGGTCTCACACACAAAAAGAAGAAAGTAGTAACAAAAGCATTTACTAAAAAAACAAGAAAAAAGTACGGAAAAAAAAAGCAATTCTAAATGTTAAATAAAGATCGATTTGGCTGAGAGGTTGATTAATTATTTGTTTATTATTATTTTCTTTTTCAAGTACAAGTGGGGGTAAGAGTGCTGAGTAGAGTTTGATTTGGCTGAGAGGTTGATTAATTATTTGTTTATTATTATTTTCTTTTTCAAGTACAAGTGGGGGTAAGAGTGCTGAGTAGAGTTTGATTAATAAGGAGATGACTCCCGATCAGGGCGATTCCAAGGTTTGGTTAGGGGTGTCATCCGAATCCTTTAACTGAATTTTTATTATTATTATTATTATATAAATATTAGATTTTAGAAAAAAAAATAATAATTGAACCACTAAAATACAACTTTAAACCCATAGTTTTAAATCTTACTCTTTTGAACCCACTATTTGATAGTGTTGATAATGAGCTTATTATGCAATGATTTCAAAATATGAAATCTCGTCGTGGCCAATTGTAAAAGCTCGTGTATTGACATGTCTTTTTGCTTAAATAATAATATCAACATATTAAAATATTTTTGTTTATAATTTTAGAATTTAAATTAATTTATTAAATTTTTTCTTCATATGTAATATAATAATTAATGTGAATTTTCTGTAAAATATATAATATTTAAATTTTTGATTGACACCACTAATAAAAATTCTTGAAGTCGCCACTGCTCCCGATACTTGATTCATTAATTAGATTTTGATACAGGAGCACTACCTACCAAAGTATTTTAAAAAAGGATTAAAGGTTGTACAGGTGGCAGTGAGCAGTAAAGGTAGGGAAGGGAGTGAAGGTGACTAGGAAAAGGGTGTACAACCATTTAGAGAAATTACAATGGTAGCTATGAAGAAGAGAGGAGGTCGGGTGATAGAGTGGGTACAAGCATAGAAAGTGGCTGGAATGAAAGAAAAATAAGAATAAGTTTGACGACAAAAGAAAGGGAGATAGGTAATAGTAAAGGAAGATAGTTAAGTTTGACGAAAAAAGGGACTATTTTTATTTTTCGTCAATTCTGGTAATAAATTAATTCTGACGAGGGCAAAATTTTAATTTTCAAAATCAAAAAGAGTAAACTATATTTCTAATTAAATTTCAAGGAGCATATTTATAATTTATCTCTCCTCCCCTCAAAAACAAAACAAAACAAAACAAAAATTCCATTTTATCCCTTTGTAGTACAAGTTATGTGCGCATAATACCCATGTCATTTGAAAATAAACAATTAACACCTTGTGATTTATGGATACTTGTAAACAAACTTAAATAATTTCATTTACTGAACTACACACTTCACTTTGCCCCTATATATGCACATAATCCCCTACTATTTGACAAGGTTGACACGTGTAATACACTGTTAATTTTGATGAAAATAGTATATTTTATTCAACAAACCACAAGAAGTTAAAGTGACTATTTTCAAAAGACGGAAGAATTATATGCAAATAACTTGTCCCTCACTTAAGCCCTCTGTGAAAGAGCTAAAATGTCTCACAGTGCCAAACCTACAACAAAAATTGACCCATCATCCATCACACCACCTCCTTTAACATCCTATGTATCATAGACTCCAGACAAGTTCTTGTGCATTAACTGGGGAGAGAAAAGTGCTACGAGCAATGGATTTCTCCTTAAACAGGCAATAAAATCATCCTTGTTGATCCTCCCATCGCTGTCGGTATCAAATAATTTGAATAGCTCATGGATCTACAAATGTAAAGTAAAAAAAGCTTCAGTTTGAAAGAATTACAAGAAAATCTATTGCTGTGGTTATTTTTCTAAGGTTAATTTATGGATTAGATTGACATGGCCATTGAACCCATGAGAATGTCGATTACTAACCTCAAACTCATCCATGTTTGGAATAGCCTGCCTAATGGAATCTCCCAACTGTGCCATATGCATTTACCAACCAAGAGTACACAACTTGAACTTATTTAAGTATAATAAATATAAGGAAATACCAAGGAAAAGAATATAAGACATACTTCTTGCTCGGTAATGTAATGGTTTCCACCAGTGTAACACTCAACGAAGGCCAATTCACAGGCTTGTCTGAATAATGGTTGCTTTAGGACATGAGCTGACCCATATAGAAACTGGAAGCAATAGATATTCCATCTATGAGAAGCTCTGTATTGGCTTTGTGGAGACAAAGTTGGGACCAATTGGGGATTGCACGTTAACACACACACACACACACACAGAGATTATCACCTGCTTGAATGTTATTTTACCCTTTTGCTCCACATCAAGGACTCGAAATATCTACAACATAGAATAATCACCATGAGATAGGAGATGAAATCAAGCAAAGAATACCTTCTTAAATATGAAAACTTTCTCAAATCAAGTAACTGTACTTTGTAGTTTTGTCACACATTCCATGGACAGCAAGTGATCGAAATTTATTCACGTATCTAATTTATTTCCACAACAAAGGCCTCATATCCATCCATTCAAGGCTAAGGCCTAGTATTGTCTACATAGTCATACGGTATTGCATTTTTCTTTTAGTGACCAAAATTTCACAGCCATTGTGTGTCACCAGCAACTATGTTCAAGTCATCACAAAGACACAACATGGGCCGACATCTAAGAAGCCCAGGCAGACATGGGACATCACCACAATCCAACATTGAAACTTAGATAGTGACTCATCAAATCTTAAGAAAATAGGCACGGATATGATAGATACACAGCAACAAATAAAAGGCCTTTTACATGGCAAATAGCATAGTAAAAACATTAGTTTATGATTCACAAATCTTATATATTGCCTTTTCTTTAAATTAACTATCATATGCGCAACTTAATGCTTAAGTATTTTGTTCAAGTAAATTAGAGAATAAATGACTATGATAATTGTCATAGCCTTGCCGCCACTGGTGCTAAGTTTCTGAAGAACATCGTTCAATACTTGCTGCACTCATTTCTATACAAGTTAATAAGAAAAACTAAGGAAACACATGCTTCTAGTGTTGTTTTATTTGATACATCATGTGCAGTGGCAGTTGGCGAGGTGGAATTGGCAGTATTTTCGAAAGGGGAGAACATGATGTTGATTAGGAGTATTCTTTCGAGTATCCCGACTTACTTTATGTCAGTACATGTGATTCCTATGGTAGTTGCAAAGCGGTTAGAGAAGTTGCAACGGGATTTTTTGTGGAGTGGAGGGGTTTCATTATCATTTAGTGGCTTGGGATAGGATTTGCTCTCCTAAGGATAGAGGTGGTTTGGGAGTTAAGCGTTTAGTTATGTTTAATCCGACTCTTTTGGGAAAATGGTTGTGGCGCTTTGTAGGGAAGGGGGAGCGGTTGTGGAGAAAAGTGGTGGCGGCTATAAATGGTTTGGGTAGGGGGTGGTGCACGGATAGGGTGGGCTAGTCTCATGGCCGGGGTTTGTGGAAGGGGATTTGGTTAAGTCAGGAGGAGTTCTGGAGGAGGGTTTAGTTTAAAGTAGGGGTGGGGGATAGGGTTCGATTTTGGAAGGATAGGTGGTGTGGTTTAGCGAGGATGTTTCCTTTGATATATGATATTGCAGCTGATTATGAGGAGGTGGCGGCTTCTGTTAGAGTTAGGTAAGGGCCGTTGTTTGTTTGGAATGTTTGCTTGCATCGTGATGTTCATGACTGAGAGTTGGATCGATTGGTGGATCTTTTGGGGTTTTTGTATAGAGTGCAATCTGGGGGGAGGGGGAGAATTCTCTGGTATGACATTGCTCGAGGTCCAAGGGGGTTTTTTCGATGTCTTCGTTCTATTAGGTGCTTGTGGGTGGTGTTGCTGCTATGTTTTCTTTGAGGTGTATTGGGTGATGGGGACACCATCCAAGGTAGCTTTCTTTGTTTGGACGGCTGTTTCAAGGCGCATTTTGACTATTGGCAATTTAATTCGTTGTCAACATGTTTTGATTTATTGGTATTATTTGTGTTGTGGGGATGTGGAGTCGGTAGATCATTTGCTCATTCATTGTCCGGTTGGGTCTCGGCTTTGGATGTTGATTGTTGCAACTTTTAGTTTGGTTTGGATGCAACCGGGTTTCATGTTGGATGTGTTGTAGAGTTGGGGAGGAGGCAGGGTTGGGAGGAGACGTCAAAAGGCATGGATGTTTGCTTCTCATTGTTTACTGTGGTTGATTTGGTTAGAGCGTAGTAGGCATGTTTTTTAGGGTGTGTCTCATTCAGTTCCTTGGTTAAAGAGCTAGCTTCTTATGGTGTTGCATAGTTGGGTTACGAGATCGGTTGATCTAGATGTTTTGGCTTTTGTAGTATTGTGGAGGATTTGATTAGTTAGTTTTTGTTGGTCCCTTTGTGGGTTGATATTTTTGTGTTCTTTGCATCGCCTTGATGCTTTTCTAATAAAGTTTGATTATTTATTCCAAAAAAAAAATGTGACAACAGCCATTGCAGCTTTGGAATCCAGTCAGAAGCTAAGCATCCTGTTATACAACTTTGGAATGTCAAGTCCCCAGTATGCAAGTGGTAATATCTTAAAAAAATAAAAAAATTGGACATTTGCACCTTTGCTATGGCAAGACGTGAACCTTTGACATCCATGTGACGTTCAAGCATTCTGGTCAACTGAACTAGACTCACTTGGTTATGTATACTGCAAGTACTCGTATCAATCCACAGATAATAATCAATCATCCATCAATTTCATAATTGATTTGCTTCTATGGGCAATATGTGGATTTAGAGTGCCCTTGTCCTTGAAATGGGATCGTTTAAGTTCTAATTGAACTTTCTAGTAGTGAATTATATTGATATTTAATCATTGATGATATAGCAAAATTCGTGTCTGGCACAGAAATGCAGATTACCTATTATGACTTCCCTCCTCCTCCCACCCCACTCCTTATAGGTAATTCATCCTCCTCTTTTTAAAAACGGTCAAATTGAAAATTTTTGTATAAACCGTTGAATTGATATTTCTTCATGATTAAAATTTTCTCTAAACTAGAGGAAATCAGTAACACAACATTTATGTTCTGCGAGTTACATATTGGCCAGCGTCAGGACATGTTGCCGAAGTGTCATAAATCATTAAGTTTAATTTTTTAATAAAGCACAGCTTTAAAGTGTGTCCTACACATGTCCAGAAGTGTGAAAAGTACTGGCATTTGACACGTACACAAATCCTACTTAAAAATTATCTTGCTGTCTTATTACTCTTTTATTGTTCAAATGTATATAGACCTTCACTCCAAGGCAAATTAATTTTTAAAATATATATATGTAAGTTTGCAGCTCAAATGTCACAAGTCAAAAAAGAACTAGACAAAGATGGCATACTTAAAAAGGCCTTTCAAGCATGGTGAGACACAAACAAGAAAATAGGATTCATATTAAAGATCAGTAGGTTAAATAAAAATTGAAACATACTTGGTAACAAACCTTTTCAGAAAGATTACAAGCCTTCAATCTCAGAACCCTGAAGAAATCATGGATTTTAACCTCTCCGCTGTGAGCAGGATGCAAACAGTGAGATAAACAATTCTTGCATTGCCACCAACTTAACCGCTATTGATATTGACACAAACTTAAATGCAATTATACAAACTCAAGAGAAAAGAAAGCATTTTGATCTGCATGTTGCAACTAGAACAGAATTAAGCATATTTAGATACATATGGTCTACATCTTCTGTTTAGTGGAGCCTCTACAATAACATTGTAATAATCACAAATCACAATAAAAAAGCATCAATTTCAGAAGCCAGCTGTTGTAAGAAAAGTGAGCTCACACGTTTTAAAATTATTCATAAAAAAAATAAAGAGAAGAAAAGCCTGATATGATAATGATTAATGAATACCACTGCAACAGCAGGATTATCCAGTGTGACTAAAAGACAGCACACTGACAAGGTTAAAAAGAAAAAATAAAGGATACGAACAGAAATACTCAAGATCAACATTAATTATAACCCTACCAAGGATTTGATATATCTGAGAAAAATGGGAAGAAGCAATAACATATGCTTTTAAATCAAATAATGGAATATCAACGATAATTTGATTTAGCCACCAAAAGCCCCCATTTGCATCATAGGCATGGATGCAGAGCATTAGTTTAATGAAAATATCTATGCTCGAAAATAAACTCAAATAAAAATCATCTCTAAAAGTGAAAGAAAGGAAAAGGAAAAGAAACAAAAGGATACATGAAACGAAGCCTGAAAGAAGAAAAAAATAGCAAGCAGTTCAAACACCCTATTCGATTGCATGAAGTAGGTAAGGTGGCATGAAGCGCCAGATGAGCAACTCAAGCAGTGTCAATCAGAAGTTTATTATAAATAGTTCCTTACAGGTATATGAAGGCATACATTACAAGTATTATATTTATAGAAACATCACAAAAATTAAAATTTTACATTATACCTGGAATCTGGGTTCATGGATAGAAATGTATCCAGAAAGTCCACAGCTTCTGAACTGCTTAAATGGAATGCCTGGCAAACAAGAGACATAATCCAATTCATATTTCCTTTCAGTGGATATAAAATTGAGAGTAATCCATTAACTATTAACTAGAATACTATATACAAAGCGAGAAATTTGTTTTGATGAGTGAACATTGTATTTAGAATAATTGATGTTAATCAAATTACTTGTATCCCCATTCTGCACTGTAAAAATACAACGATAATTTATAAAAAAAAACCAATGGTAATCTCTCTACAAAATTCATAAAACCAAAGTGTTACCAAAAAACTTTAATAACTAATGAATTAAAACTTGGAATGCACATTCCGAAACATATTTTCTTTCCAAAACAGTAAATTTAACAATCCAAAGCGATCTCAAAATGTTTTTCAAATATATTTCCGCGAAGAATTCCCTAGGAGGATTTTTTTTTTAAAAATCAACTAAAATATAAGTAGAGTTTTGACAAAGCAAAACGCAAAATCAGTCATAGACATAAATTAAGTAGGCAAGCTTAATAGAGTCCTCGACTATAGGAACACAAAATATGCATTCTAGGTGTTTTACGTAAGTACTGAAAAATTCTTCTTCAAAGGTATATGTAAATTACAAGTTAAAGCATATTTTCAATTTTTCATCATTTTAACCACCAAATACACAAGCATACTTCAGTTTTTTTTTTTTTTTTTCTTTCCCTTTCTAAAATGTGTGTTACACATTTAGCTTATATATATATATATATCTATTTGACCACGAAAAAAAAAAAGGAAAGAAAGAGACAAAAGATATTCAGGGTATGATATCACCTATTGCGCAAAAGGTTTCAAATAATAGGTTTCAAATAATTTTACTTGTTTAACCATGCCCGTAAGCAGCTACATTAACTTATGCAAGAAACTATGCTTATTCATGCATTCTGTCAAGCATTCAACAAAAAAAGCACATCTCTCAGCTTGAGGAGAATGGGCAGTAAACTATGTAGTTTGTCTTCATCTTCTATGACTGAAATTGTTTTTGTTTTTATCTTAAGATATGGTTATATACAGCAGAGTAATACATCTAGATTTATAAAAATAAATTGACTGAATGCAACCTTCCAAATAACTGTTTTACCATATAAAACAACAATGAAGAGATATAAATCGAACTATCGTTTCTGCATATATTATTTATAACACAATAAAAGTATTATTAGTATATAAATCATTCAATTAAAAACTCACTGATTCCACCCTTGCCATTTCAACCGTATATAGTGTGGGATTTTCCTGCAAAGCATACAAATGACAAAATTAGGGCGGACTCCAAAGAAGACTTCAAACTCCCCCGAGAGAGAGAGAGAGATGCAACTTAGTTTTGTAAAAAATGCACCATTCTACTGGTTGTTCCATAATTCCCACAAGTCTTCCTGCATATCTTGGACATGGAATACAATTGCATAATTTAAATAAGGAAAAATGCTGAAAACAGACCTTTGGGCTGTCAATAGTCTTGGTGAATGTGTAAAAAAATGTATTAAAATTTGTGACCAGTCTAAATACATATGTGAAAATGCTTTGGGATGCGTAAAAAATACATTGAGTCTAACTTTTTTGGCTTTTTTGGCTTTTGTTTCATTACTACTAGTAGACAAGATGACAAATTAACAAAAAGTTCTCAATGTAAATATGAGAAAATATTACAGAAACCAATGAAACCAAAGTTGCATCCAGGAAAGTTCCTATGGTTTTCTAAGGCAAGGCAATAAACACTCAAAGCTCCTCTGTCTTTCCGCCAACATAAAGTATTCCAAGCTGAGTAGCATAATCTTTTTTCTTTTCTTTTTTTGGGATAAATTATACTCACCTCCCCTGATATTTGAAAAAAATACAGTTAGCCTCACACTTTGACATAATTACACTGGTCTGCCTTAAGGTTTTAATTCATATAACAGTTAGGAACTTTTTGATCAATAATTTGTTAGTTATATGAATGAAAAAATATCGTTATCATCTATTTTCTACTAAAATATATATTTATGTTTATTTATTTTAGTGTCTACCCACAATCTACATTAGTTTTGGTCGTTTAGCCTTACTAAAAGAGAGGTTAATATAATTATGTAAAATGTGTGGGGCTAACTATATTTTTTCAAAACCACAAGGGAGGTAAGTCTAATTTACCCTTTTTTTTGTAACCAGCTCAATCATCTCTTTGAAAACTTTGAGCTGAGCTGGAGCAAGGTTGGCTTAGCCCTTGCCATGTTTGAAAATCTACTTCTCACCAGCCATGGTTAAGCAGCTAGATGTATACTCACATGGGTGTGGGTCCCATAAGTTGTGGGCCCCACACCTATATGAGTATTGTGTAAAATTATGGTAATTTTTTTGGAGTCCCTAGCATTGCAGACACTTCATGGACACGTGTCTTGTGTTTGGACAAGCCTCAAGACACCTTGTAGACACAAATTTTAAAACATTAAGTGTTTCAACACATTTCAAAATTTTATGTTACAAATGTCCACTGTTTAGTTTTTGGACTAAACAGTATTGATTATTTGAATAGTAGATTCTTATTTCCGATATGTATTTCAGATCGTTAATTACACATTTTATACAAATGAATCCGATTAATGAAGAACAAAATAAACAACAAAAGACAATTTAAGAAATATATATTTTATTGAAATTGTTATGAGTTTTGAACCCTCGAATACAAAATACAATTATTGGGTTTGGAACCGTTTACATATTCATCGCCATTAGCGTAGACTCTTGAGTTCTTTAGGCTTCTCTTCTTCTTTCTTGTAACGACTTCTTCAGCTCTCAATTTCTTTCTCTCTTTCTCTCTTTCTCTGATCTTTTCACTTCTGATTTTCTCATCATTCGTTTTATGTGATGGTTCTCATATTTATAGAGGACCATCAGGTGATAGGAATGCCTCATCTTCAATTTGAATTTCAAATTGAATGATAGCGCCATTTGAATTTTGAATAATAGCGCTATCTGATTAACCGGATTGATCTTTGGGGTTTCATCCTGTATGGTATCCTTACTGTAGGCTCTACAGGTGTCATCTTTCGTAGGCTCCACGTGTCACTTGAGCATCTTGAATAACGTCGTTGAGATACGACGTTTTATTTATGTACTTCAACGGATCATATTGATCCTTTTTAGGCAGTGATTACCTACAACATTCCTATCATAGGCTCTGTGTGTGTCATTGACTGTATTTGAATTTTAAACATAAATTTGGTTGAAATTTATGTGCCAACACACCTTTAATAATTTCTTTTTTTTTATAATTTTAGACAAATAATCCGGGTCAAGATATGTTAAAATTGATGTATTATTGATTGATATATTACAAGATTGTTGTGTATATATTTTGTACAAGAATTCCTATTATATAGGAGATGATTCTGGAGTAGGTGAGGAGTGAGTGGTGGAGGTAGGTTTGGTGGAGTGTAGTAGGTGATAGGAGTAGTAGGTGGAGGTAGGTTTGGTGGTAGGTGTAGTAGTAATTTACATTTACATTAACAGCCCCCCTCAAACTCAAGGAGGATAGGTACTAGCCAACTTGAGTTTGGAGAGAGTAACAAAACAGAAAAATAAGCTGACAAATAAAATTAAAAATGGGATAGGAGACACTGTATGGTCGTGTCGGACCGTTGTAGCAGACAGTTTACGGGGTCATGTCGGACCGGTGTAGCAGAAACATGAAGTGTTTCAACACATTTCAAAATTTTATGTTACAAATGTCCACTGTTTAGTTTTTGGACTAAACAGTGTTAATTATTTGAATAGCAGATTCTTATTTCCGATATGTATTTCAGATCGTTAATTACACATTTTATACAAATGAATCCGATTAATGAAGAACAAAATAAACAACAAAAGACAATTTAAGAAATATATATTTTATTGAAATTGTTATGAGTTTTGAACCCTCGAATACAAAATACAATTATTGGGTTTGGAACCGTTTACATATTCATCGCCATTAGCGTAGACTCTTGAGTTCTTTAGGCTACTCTTCTTCTTTCTTGTAACGACTTCTTTAGCTCTCAATTTCTTTCTCTCTTTCTCCAATCTTTTCACTTCTGATTTTCTCATCATTCGTCTTATGTGATGGTTCTCATATTTATAGAGGACCATCAGGTGATAGGAATGCCTCATCTTCAATTTGAATTTCAAATTGAATGATAACGCCATTTGAATTTTGAATAATAGCGCTATCTGATTAACCGGATTGATCTTTGGGGTTTCATCCTGTATCGTATCCTTACTGTAGGCTCTACAGGTGTCATCTTTCGTAGGCTCCACGTGTCACTTGAGCATCTTGAATAACGTCGTTGAGATACGACGTTTTATTTATGTACTTCAACGGATCATATTGATCCTTTTTAGGCAGTGATTACCTACAACATTCCTATCATAGGCTCTGTGTGTGTCATTGACTGTATTTGAATTTTAAACATAAATTTGGTTGAAATTTATGTGCCAACACACCTTTAATAATTTCTTTTTTTTATAATTTTAGACAAATAATCCGGGTCAAGATAAAATCTATGAAAACAAAGAGAGAGAAAAGTAAAAGAAAAAAAAAATACACCCACATGTATATTAATGCCTCTTATATGTTTGTGTCCTAAATTTATATTGCTATACATAGCAGATAAAAATATATAAAAGAACATTTTTTTGTTGTATCCCTGTCGTGTCCATATCCTAATTTTTTCAAACTCGCCATGTCCTGTATCTATATCCATGTCCATGCTTCTTAGAGAGGAATTATAAGCATTAAATGGTGCTTCAAGGCCTACACCTAATACATTATGAGATCCCAAGGAAACAAGGTAAATTCCATCACTGCGGCTGCATCAAATATCCAAGGTCCATCGCAAAAAAGGCTGTCAAATTAAGTTTAAGAGCTGAAATATAGCACTTGAAAAAATATTTGAATGAAACACATGATCATTTGTGCAGACCTAAAAGCAAGATAAACTATAAAAGGCAAACACATGGAGCAAGTAAAGTGACCTGTTTGGACTTGGAAGCTTTTGCAAACAGCATGATGTCCCCATAGGAATGAGATGTTTGTACAACATTAAGAGCGGTAGCTATAGCATGACTAGTCTGCATATATCCATCAAGGATGAAGTGATAGATTAAAATTCAATAATCCACAAATAACTTAAGGAGAATGATATATATACTCAAGGCAGCTCAAGTGGAAAATCAAGACACATCCAAAATGGAATGTACTGTTAGACAATCATCAAGTTCACAAAAATAGGATTCTTCTCCCTTTACCCATATTACAAAGAAAAAGTTCCAAGAATCAACCAGTTGCGGAGCAAGAAACGTCCATTAAACAATTCACCACTAATATCAACCTTCAATTATACATAATTTACACTAATAAACTTGGGTAATACACAAAACTAGATCAAGTAATTTATAGTTACCAAATTACTAGTACCATAATGAAAGCAAAAACCACAATAGTTAATTTAATGAAAAATTCTAGAAAACTATTTCATAAAAAACTAATAAATGTCCACTTGCATCAATTCCAAATCAGTAATTTAAACAATTGGAAGTAAAATACTATACTGAAATAGCATAAAATACTAATAAAGTTAAACAATTGATTCCATAAATCATAAATGTATAATATTTTCCCTTGATTAAAATTTTGAACAAATTTAATTCAGATATATCCTTAGAACATAAAGTTTGTTTAGTTAATTTAGTTGAAGAAAATAACACCCATTGTGTTTGTTGACAATTCCTTTTTAATGCCAAAAGTTATCTTCTATTTTTATTTTCCCTTTTTAAAATATAAGCATAAAGCATATCCTAAACTCTCACATAATGGCGTAATCATGTCCTTGGATATTAGGATAGTAGTGATGTATAACGTAGGTAACACATGAACACCTACAAAAAAATTCAAAGAAAGAAAGAATAACTAAAAGATTGGAAGAAGAAGAAGGAAAAAAACAAAAAAAAAAAACAAAGGTAACATGCAAGTGTAATATGAGTATATATTAATATCTATGCTTTATGAAATTAGCTCATACCCTTTAATATAAGATTGACCTCACTTAAAATAAAATTTATACGTGGCTCTGCCCCTAAGAATCAAGGCAGTAGACCAACTGCTACTAAACAAAAAGGAAAATTTTCCCAAACTAAAGACTTATTTATTTATTTATTTATTGGCACTAGGTGGATCAAAGCCCGACTAATCCCCAGGGGTGAAAACTAAGAACTTGACCATAGGAAACCTGATGTAGAACAAGTGGCTGCAGATTGCTTGAAGCAATTAGACATAAGACAAGGAAATCAAATTATTGATCAAGGATGAAATAATAGTTTTAAACAAGTTTTACTTGGCTACCAAGAACTTTTCTTGATGACCAAGGATTATCCTAATTAGCTACTTTCTTGTAATACTTTGTCTCCAAGTATTCTTGGTGACAAAAACTAGTATTATCTTAGTTTATTATTTTTATATTTTCCTTGGTCTCCAAGTATGCTTGGTTTCCAAGACTTTATCCAGTATAAATAGTCATGTAAGCCTAAGGGCAAAGGCATTCTCTATCAATATAATTTTCAAGTTACTCTATTTTACTTGTGGATTCAAGGGTTTCTTTCTTGTGGATTCAAGAGTTTTCGTCTATTAGAGTGATATCTAATTTCGTGCATATTCCACCGTGTCAAAACCATTCCTCCAATTGTAATAAGTTAACACAACGCACATAGAAGACATGAAAAGCGTAGACAACTCATGAATGAAATACCTTTTTATATGGATTTATCTTTAATATATACAAGGAACAAAATTTTCATTTGTTTCCATTGAAATGGCCGAAATGTTTCCATTTCCCAAGACACCAAAACAAAACACTAGTGGACTAATAAAATTCAAGTGTTTCCATTGAAACACATCAAAACATAGTGGAACACACCAAACATAGTGTGATATTTAGAAATTTTCATAAACGTTTATTACTACTGTTTAAACTTTCAGACCTTATTCAGAACTTTTGTTAATACATAATAATTTTTAGTTGATAGTAACATTAGTTTTTAATTCATTTACCTGAATGACTATATAAATCTCAATTTGTTTAATAGATCAATTAAAGCTTTTATACTCCAAACATTTCTATTTTTTAATAACTTTGAAACCTTTTAATAACTTTTTGGATTTTTGGCTAAAATATGATGTAAAAAAAAAACTAGCATGTTTGGGATGACTTTTTTACTTTTTACGAAAAGATGTGCAAAAAGTAGAGAAAAAAGGAATTCTTTGACTTTTGGGTATAGGTTGTTGGCTTTTTGACTTTTTTAGTAACTTTTTGACTTTTTGGTTAAAAAAGCCACTTGCCAAACGAGGCCTAAGTTAAAATAGGAAAAACACGATTGTGTGATTGTGTTTCCTTATATTATGCCTATGGCACTCCTGTAACTACTCAGTATTATCAATATAAAAGGGAATGAAGTCTACCTCATTTCCTAACTCTTTTCTTTTCTCTAAACCTACATGGTATCAGAGCCAAAACCCTAGCCCCTCTCTCTCTTTCTTCTCTTCCGCTGCCCACAGTTCCGTTTTAACAGCCCAGTCACTGTAGACTATCACCCAGCCACTGTCGACCTTAACTTAGCCCACCTACAGGCCACCTACACCTCCAACACACTTACCTCAATTGTCGGTAGTCCTCCTGGACTCTCTGACTGCCTCTTAGACTTAGTCGGCAGCCCCTCTGGTTGTCTAGGAGTCTGTCGACAATTCCTCAGGCCTCCTAGGGATCTGTCGGCAGCCCATCTGGCCTTCTTGGCCCTTGTCGGCAGCCCCTCTGAGCTTGTGAGCTTCTGTCGTGGTCGACTGGTCATCTCTCCTTGCATCATCTGTCGTCTCTCTCTGAGTCTCTCTCTGAGTTTGAGTCTGTAATGTTCTTTATTTAAAAGGTCATACTTTCAAAATAAATAAATAAATAAATTATGGTGATGTAAAAAAAATAAAAAATAAAAAATAAAAAACTGGCTTCTCAAGTTTTTATACTTTTCTAGTTACTGTTGTGCTTGTTCCTCCACCATCTTTCGAGTTTGTAATTGGTCCTGGGTTTGAGGGTTGCTTCGTAGAATTTTTATGCACTAGTGAGTCAACAAATTCTCAGCCACTTAAGAGCGAGAGCTCAGTTATCTCTTCTACTATGACAGATAATTTCAACCCTAGCCTTAAAATCACTTCTCTATTCAATGGTCAGAACTTTCTAGCGTGGTCGCAGAGTCTGACTATTTTCTTGAAGAGCAGAGAGAAGATGGGGTATGTTAATGGCAGGATACAGGCACCTAACACCACGGACCCGAGTTATGATCAGTGGGAGATCACCAACTTCCACATTATGGGTTGGTAATACATTCTATGGTCCCGAAGATCAGAGAGGGCTATCTCTCTACGGAGACTGCACAGGATATTTGGGAGGCAGTGACTACCACTTACTCCTGGAAGAGGAACTTCTCCCAGGCTTTTGAGTTACGTCACTCCATTGAAAGGTCTATACAAGATGAGACGACTATCCTTCAGTATTTTACCTTCCTTAGCAATGGGTGAAAGCGACTTGATCACCTTCAGGATTACAAACCTGTTTGTCCCACTGATTCTGTTGGTTACAAAGAGTTTGTGTCACAAAAGCGGGTCTTCAAGTTCTTGGAAGGCCTAAATGTAGAATATGATCTAGTACGGAGCAGAGTACTTGGCATGGATGTGCTTCCTTCTCTACAGGAAGCCTTTGCTTTTGTGCAGAACGAAGAGAGTAACCGCTCTGCGATACTTTCTTCTGCCACTATTGATCGCTCGGCCTTGGTTTCTGCACCCCCTCGCAATGGCGACCGTGTGACCCGCGGTTCTCGTCCTTCCTCTGAGAAGGACAATCTTTTCTGTGACTACTGCCATCGATCTCACCACACACGAGACCTGTTGGAAGCTACATGGGACTCCTTCTGGTGGCCGAGGAGACCGTCCTGGTACTCGAGGGGGTCAATCTGGTCCGTCTAGAGGCCGAGAGGCTAATGCTCAAGCACATCTTTCAGACATTGTTGAGCCATCATCTTCTTCTCCAATTGTCTCCCCTGCTACTGATGTTTCGGGGTTATCTGCCTCGAATTTTGAGATTGCTCTTTGCCACTTGCCACCTCTGCTACAGGTGCACCCTCTTCTTCTTTTGCCAATTCAGGTAACCTGGCTTTCTTCCCATATGCATTGCTCTCCCATACGACTGTACCATGGATAATTGATTCTGGTGCTTCCGACCATATGTCTGGCTTCTCTAATTTGTTTTCAGAGTATAACCCCTCCCCATGTCAGGAAAAAGTGCGTATTGCTGATGGTACTATGTCCTCTGTGTCAAGAAAAGGTTTAATTCATGCTACCTCTTCTCTTCATTTGTCCTCTGTTCTTCATGTTCCAAATTTTGGTGTTAATATTTTATCTTTAAGTCGTATTACCCGTGACTTAAATTGTAGCGTGACATCATTGTCTTTTTTAGGATCTCATCACGAGGAAGAGGATTGGCAGTGGTAGAGAGGAACATGGTCTCTATATTCTGGATCAGACCGACAAGTTGGCTCATTCATCTATTCCGTTACTATCCACCAAGGACGACATTTGGCTGTGGCACCGTCGCTTAGGACATCCCTCTTTTTTATTACTTAAACATTTATTTCCTTCTGTTTTTGAGAAAAATAATGTGTCAGATTTTCAATGTGAGTCTTGTCAACTTGAAAAACAACATAGAGCCTCTTTTGCTCCTTCTATTAATAAAAGTTTCGTTTCATTTTCTTTGATTCATTTTGATGTATGGGGTCCATCCCGTTTTGTGTCTTTTTTTTAACTGGTAAAAAATGGTTTGTTACCTTCATAGATGATTGTTTTCGGGCCACTTGGGTCTATTTGATGAAAGATAACAGTGAGGTCTTTTCTGTGTTTCAAAACTTCCATCAAATGGTTGTCAAAATTCTACGTTCTGATAATGGAGGGGAATATATTGACTCTGGTCTTGCCACTTACTTCGCCACTCATGGCATTATTCACCAGACTTCATGCACTAATACCCCTCAACAAAATGGTGTTGTAAAATGCAAAAATCGCTATCTCCTTGATGTCGCCCGTTGTCTATCCATTGAGATGCGGGTTCCTCGATTCTATTGGGGGGAAGCGGTTCTCACTGCCGCTTATTTAATTAATCGTCTTCCTACCCAAGTCCTTCAGAAACAAACACCTCTTTAAGTTTTGTTCGGGTCGACCTCTTCCGGGTTTTACATTTCTCCTAAGGCTTTTGGCTGTGTTTGCTTTATCCATAATCATTCGCCCACTCGCGGTAAATTAGATCCTAGGTCTCTTAAGTGTGTTTTCCTGATTTATTCTGCTACCAAAAAGGGTTATAAGTGTTATCATCCTCCCACTCTCAAATGATTTGTCTCTATGGATGTCACTTTCTTTGAGTCTCAGCCTTACTTTCCGACCTCCCCGGTATCACAGTCATCCCTTCAAGGGGAGCCTTAGTGCGAAGAGATTCATGTTTCACTTCCGCAGATAGACGATGATGAGCCAGCAACAGCTGTTGAGGAAAGGGAAGCAGGCAAAGTTTATATCAGGGACAAGGCCAGATAGCAAGTCACCTGGATGCAAGAAACTACTTTTCTTCCTCTACTGCCAATTTCTTTTCTGGATAAGTGCCCAGAGTCAAACCCCTCTCCTGAGAATCCAGGTAATTCTGATTCTAGTGCTCCTATTCCTGATGTTTCAGATCTTGATGTTCCCATTGCTAATAGGAAAGGGGTTAGGTCATGTACTCAGCGTCCTATTACTAATCAGGTCTCTTATTCTAATCTGTCTATGTCATATAAAACTTTTTTGTCTAAAGTGTCTTCTGTGAGTCTACCTACCAATTTTCAGGATGCTCTCTCTATTCCTGAATGAAAGCATGCCATGATGGAAGAGATGAGAGCTCTCCGCAAGAGTGGCACTTGGGAGTTAGTGGAGTTACCTAGAGGCAAAAGTCCAGTCGGGTGTAAGTGGGTGTACACGGTAAAACACAAAGTAGATGGTTCCATAAAATGGTACAAAGCAAGACTGGTTGCGAAGGGCTTCACTGAGACTTAAGAGGTGGATTATGAGAAGACATTCGCACCGGTTGCTAAAATGAATTCTGTGAGAATCTTACTCTCTCTTGCTGCAAATTTGGATTGACCACTTCATCAGTTTGATGTGAAGAATGCCTTTCTTCATGGAGATCTAGCAGAAAAGGTCTATATGGATATCTCTCATGATTTTGCGGATGCTAAGTTCAACGGTAAAGTATGCAGGCTCCGAAAGCAGTCTCCTAGGGTTTGGTTCGAAAGGTTTGCTCAAGCTATGCTGAAGTATGGGTTTAAGCAAAGTCAAGCTGATCACACCTTGTTTGTAAAACACTCCTCACATGGTAAGACCACAGCTCTCATTGTCTATGTTGATGATATTGTTCTGACAAGAGATGATGTGGAGGAGATTCCTCATTTGAAAGACTACTTAGCCAAGGAGTTTGAAATCAAAGACTTAGACTATTTGAAGTATTTTTTGGGCATTGAAGTAGCTCGGTCCAAGGATGGCATCTTCATATGCCAGATAAAGTATGTACTTGACCTACTACAGGAAACTGGAATACTTGGAGGTAGACCATGTGATACACCTCTAGAACCGGGCCAGAAGCTGAGTGAGAATCAAGAGGGAGATCCAGTGGACAGGGGAGAGATACCAGAGACTAGTGGGAAAGTTCATATACTTATCCCACTCACGTCCAAACATTGCCATTGCCATGAGTATTGTGAGTCAGTTTATGCATGCTCCGAGAACTTCCCACTTAGAGGCAGTTATGAGAATCCTACGATACCTGAAAGCTTCTCCTGGAAAGGGTCTCTATTTCTCAAATCATGGCCATCTCAGTGTGGAAGCATTTAATGATGCAGATTGGGCTGGATCCGTGACCGATAGATAATCAACTTCTAGATATTATACATTTGTTGGTGGCAATCTAGTTATACGCCGAAGTAAGAAACAGAATGTGATTACTAGATCTAGTGCTGAGGCAGAATTCAGGACTATGGCTCAAGGTGTATATGAGTTACTATGGATTAAACTATTGTTGGAAGACTTGGGGATCCATCAGAATGACTCCATGCGACTATACTGTGACAACAAGGCCGCAATCAACATAGCTCATAATCCAGTTCAACATGATAGAACTAAGCATGTGGAAATTGATAGGCACATCATCAAGGAAAAACTCACTAGTGGTATCATATGTATTCCATTTGTGAAGACTAGAGACCAACTAGCCGATGTTCTCACCAAGGGGCTAAGGTGCAAACCATTTCATGGCATTCTCAACAAGCTGGGAATGAGAGATATTTTCGCGCCAGCTTAAGGGGGAGTGTTAGAATAGAAATTAAGTTAAAATAGGAAAAACGTGATTGTGTGTTTGTGTTTCCATATATTATGCCTATGACACTCCTGTAATTACTCAGTATTATCAATATAAAAGGGAATAAAGTCTACCTCATTCCCTAACTCTTTCTTTTCTCTAAACCTACAAAACCAACAAGGTAAAAAAAATTAATCAAATAATGAAGACTCACCCTTTGAGCAAAATGGGCAGCATTTTCCTTTTGATTTTCAAGGGGTGCAACAACAGGAAGATACTCTACCTGTACAATTTAATAAATGCCCTCATTCAACTTTTTACAACATACAAGTTGTGCAGTAACCAAATTTCAAATTATATATATGCATGTACATTTAAGCTGATGCATAATCAGTATTTTTTTTTTTTTGATAAATAAATAAACCAACTTTATTAAAAAAGTATCAAGGTAATGCAAAGAATACAAAAACCCAAATGGGAGAACAAACAACTCCTAACCAATAACACCATCCAAAAAAATCTAAAAAAGCAAACATATCCGGATCAACCGTCCTCTCTAACCAACTATACAAAACTATTAGTAAACGACTCTCAAGCCAAGAAACACTATGATGGCATAATCAGTATTGATGATGATTTGCGAGAGTGAGTTAGTTATCAAAAGAAAAATAGCAAATTAGGGCATCACTATAGCAACCTATAAGTATGATTTCCCACCTCATACCTTACTACCAAAAAAAAATAAAAATTATAGTATATGCAAACTATAGATAAATAAAATTTACTCAACATACCTCCATGAAATTGTGAAACTGTGTGAACATTCTAAACATGAGCATTCCCAAAGCAATATTTCCCCTAAACAAAATGGAAGGCCATATGATGCAAGTAAGGTAAAGATATTACAAAAGACAACACCAAAACGGTTTCAACTAAAGAAAATTCCTACCAAGATTGGTCAAAGTGTACATGGGGATAGCGAACAATCACTGGCTGGACAGGATATCCAGGGACAAATGCACCAAGTTGGAAGGAAATGAGAACTCTTCCATTTGTTGTGGTTCCCTCAGGAAATAAAAGCAAACGAGGAAATCTATCAGAAGAAGCCTTTCTCTGTATTCAGATCCTTGAAAGCACATTTCTGTATCAAATCCCTTATAGATTGGAAAAACTTAATAATCTGAATTTTTTTCATACAAAAAATTGTAACAACTCCATATATACAATTAAAAAGCCATTGCTTTTGCTTATCAAAAAAAAAAGCCATTGCTTTCAGTTTCCATATTTATTAGCACAGCTCACCAAAATGAAATTTTGTCCCTTCATATGCATCTATTTGTTTGTAACTTGTTAAGTTAGTTCTTACAACAACAAAAAAAGGGTTTAAATTTTCTAAGCATTTGCAAACTGCTTACATAATTTCACAGAAAATCATAACAGACATTGAAAAGTGAAAACATTACAACATAAGCATTGTGAGAGAAAAAGTACACAAGCAGTTTTATTTAATCATCAATTGGTTAATAACAGTCAACAAATACACAGAAGCAAGGAAAGACAATGGCATATGCTTAAATAAATTCATCTTCCTAAATAACTAAAAGAATTCACAACATAGTTCCACAAGAGAAAGAATCACGTTTACTAAATAGTTCGTAAAGGCAAAGAAACTTACTACCTTTATTTCATTGACAGCATGCTTCCTTGATGATGGTGAGGACCTATTGACATATACAACCTAACAACATAGAGAAATGATAAAAAAACAATATTTGTTAACACATTAATTGCACTCAAATGCACAAAAATAAATCTGAAAATTAAAGATATAGAAAATTCACCAAGACAAACCAATAAGTGTGACAACACATGTAAAAAGCTTTACTAACATAATGGATAAAAGATTACCTGCATTGCTCTGATAATGGTTCCAACAAAAGGTATGGAATCATGGGACTCGGAAGCAACAATGGTGGGAAATAATTCGTAGAAAAAGAAAATAGGATCAATATATGATACATGATTGGATACAACTATAGGAGCAGTCTCCCTTGGAGCAGGTCTTCCTCTACGTTTTATCCAATGGTAGCTGCACCGTCGAAAGAAAAGATCATATTCAACTTACAGTTAACAAACTTGGTTTTTCAAAGGTTTCAAACAAAAACGAAACAAAACAAAAAAGAAAACCAAAATTGTGAACATACAGTAACTAGTAACTAGTAAGAGAGGAAAGAGGAGAAAATAAAAATGGAAAACAAGTCAACCATATCAGCATGAAAAAGTCAACAACATCACAATATCATTGAAGATATAACATTCTAACTGTAACCAAAAACTCACAAATTTTAAAGGCAAAAAAAAAAATTCTTAAAACTCCAATTAGAACCTGATCAAACGACATGTATGTAATGCAGTGTTCTTATTGCATTAAAAATTGCAAACGAAGAACAATGCAATATGCAAAATAATATAAACGAGAACTTTCCATCAACACAACACATTTATGCTATGTTTGAATCTTGAAACTGTGAAGGGAACGGAAAACGAAAGAATAAATAAAGTCACCTATACACATTATTTTTGTACGAGTAACTGAACATAAGCAAATGGTGAACATCTTTTAATTTTCCTAACCCAACCAAAAAAGAGGGGAAAAAACTTAAAAACTTATTTTACTTTATTTTTTCAATATTTTCTCTTAACAAATCCATGATAAAAACATAACATTGAATACATTGCATGAATTGTGTTTTTGGTTTTTCAAAGAAGGGCTTTGAAAATTTAGACACGCATACATGAAATTTCATAGGATAAAATTGCAAAATGTTATTACAACAATAGGCAAAAGTGGAGTTTTGAAAATTTTGAGCAGGGCACGTGCGCCTCCTGGGCCAATGGCAGCTCCGCCACTGTTTGGCTCCAAAGTGCCCACAAATCACCACCAGTGTTTTCTTAGTTCAATAAATTTTTAATTTGTGATCTACCAGGTTAGCCTGTTTGGCCAGAATATGTTTGGCAAATTCCAACTTTATATACATGCAATTTTTCAAAAATTGTGTATGTTATGTAATGGGCCCCAAACCCAATCCGGCCCTCCCAAAAAATTTAAAAATCTCATGTTATTATGACCCTCAAAAATTAATATAGAATTCAGTCCATTTGATTGGTATGAAATCATATTTAAAAAATAAAACAAAATTCTGCTAAAGAAATGAAATTAGATTCTTAAGTGAATTTCTATAGTTTTTTAATTAGATAACTTATGAAACTTTATAAGCATAAGCACAATGAATAATATTCAACTAATTACATAAGCCGTGTTTGGTGTAAGTTTAAAATTGATAGGGCAAACTTCACTTTACTCCCCTGTGTTTTGGGCGGGGTGCAGATTACCCTCCTGACATTTGAAAATCACCACATAACCCCCACATGGTTTGTGGACCAAAACGCACCGTCCACTTTTCCATCCAAATTAACAGGCTGTGAGGTTCACACACCCATGAAGAGAGTAAGCTATATTTTATGACCAAAATACACCCCTTACAGATCTTTAAATTTACAAAAGGTTGCCATTATTCTTCCTCCTCTCTCACAGAATGAACAAACACATCTATGAAAAAAGGTTGTTTCTCCAAAACCAAGGTTGTTTAAATTATCTGAACAAACACATCTTTAAATTCTCACTAAAACCAAGGTTGTTTCTCCAACCCTCCCTTTTTCCTGATTAATGTTGGCGCATTTTAGCACAGTCCCCTCTCTGCATCTGAAGAGAATCCCCAATCACCAGAAAATCGTAGACAAAGAAGAAGAAGAAGAAAAAGAAAGAGAGAGAGAGAGAGCTAGTGAAGAAGACCTCACCAACCCTAACCAACACCAGCACACACACAATCATAGGTTCCACAAAACACAACTCTCTGTTTCTTTAATCATATACACAAATTCTCATACATATATATATATATATATATATTTGTGATCTTCATATTTGAGCTGAAATGGAGAAAGTCATTGCAAACTGTGTTTCCACTCTCTCTACAATACTTTTTTTTCTCTCTCCTCGCTCTAGAATGGCTTGCTGGAGGATGAGTGCGGGGAATTTGGATCCGGAGAGGAAGAGGAGTGGGGGTCTCAGGACCAAATAGGTGGGACGATGCTCGTATTGTGGAAGTTAGGCCGGAGTAGTAGAGTCGCCGGAAAATACTTGATCTCCGGCGCTAAGATTTTCTCTCTCTACTGTTATAAAAGTAATTTTAATTTAATTATAATATATATGCACACACACATATATAGCTATCATGGGTTGAAAGTTGGCAATGGCAACCATGGGAGAACGTAAGCTCTAAATCAACAAGAAGATGAGGGTATGATTAACGCATATAGATATACATATATAGTTGATATATATTTGTAGGTTTAATTCAAAGAAAGAATAGTAAGAAGATGAGGGTATAATAGTCAATTTACATGTTCTGTTAACAGAAGTTAGTGTGCATTTTGGTCCACAAACCACGTAAGAGTTATGTGGTGATTTTCAAATGTCAGGGGGATAATCCGCACCTAGCCCAAAACACAGGGGGTAAAGTTAAGTTTGCCCAAATTGATAATTATAAAAAAACAAAAACAAAAACTAAAACTAAAACTAAAACTAAAAAGTACATTCTCAAGATAATATATATACATATATAAACAGTCCAAACTAAGCTTATAAAAAGTGATATATCATATGTAACTTTAGACTAGGCATCCATAACTTTTTTATTAGGCTAATTGTCTTATATTGATTTATATTTTAATTAATATCTAATCCATTTACACTCAACCCAATCCACCATTCCCCTGTTCGAAATTCGCCCGTGCCTTCCTTCTGGCCCCTGATTGAAGAGTCCTCGCTCCATCCCTGCTCTCCCACTTTATGAGGAGAAATTGTACAATACTCCTGGAGCAGGTCTAGGTGGTGCTCTAAATTAGTAGTTATTGGTCTAAATCATGGAACTCATCACTTTTGTCTTAGAATTTTAGGTGACAAAGTGTTAATAGTCAATCTGTAAATGGAACAAAGCAATGCTCTAGGAGCATTAAATAATTTCTCTTGTGATGTATTTGATCTTTATTATGATTATAATTCATTGGCCCATAATATCATATATGAATAAATAAATTAAAAATGTTCACAATCTAATTGCAAGATAAATGCTTTCATATAAAATCATAATTATGTATCCACCACACACTTAAAAAGAAACTCAATTATCAACCCAAATTGACTTACCCAAAAGAAAAAAGAATACACCGAGCACAAATTCGAGTAACCCACATGAGTCTACACCTCCATTTGGGCATTGGGTTCTGCTTATCCTTCCAACCATGAAGAACTAACTTGGTAGCCACATACCCAATCAACAAAGACAACCCGGACAACAGGTGCCGAACAATTGCAATAGGCACACAAATGAGGATCTTCAACCACTCATAAACCCCTTCAATTTGCGGCTTGTGGCTGCGAAAGGGATCAATAGTGGTTGAGGAAGGCATGGAGAGAGGTCCAGCACTGAGAAACTCAAATGGGTGCTGAATCGCTGAATGGGTATTGCCAATCTGATTGGTTTCGTAGTTGTGAAGTCGATTTGGGGGTTCTTCTTTGGAACCCCAATTGTCGTCCACGGGTATAATCAGTTGAGGCTCGTCGGAGGAGGGATGAGAGAGGCGGTGTTTGAGTAGTAGAGGAGTGATGGGGTCGTGTTCTGCCATTGTTAAAGCTCAAGTGAAGAGTGGGAGGTAGAGAGAGAAACTAGACTGTACAGAGAGAGAGAGAGAGATTTTTGTGGTTTGTGAGAAAAGAAGCATCATCGATTGTTTTTTTGTGGCTGTTGGCTATATATTTTGTATAAGCCAATCGCAGCTTAACACGTGGCTCGTTTGGGGAGTTAATGCAAGTCTCCAATCAACGACAGACACGTAACAGTTCACATTGGTAATAATGAATCTGCGTAGCACTGGAGCAGTTAAAAGGCGCAAGATGACGGGGCCCAACAGTTCAAATTCAAATTCAAATTCATGAGGGAAGCCTAATTGCAAGAATGGTATAGCAGAAGCTAACTGTGCGAGGCCATGACAAGAGATCGTGGAAGGGCATTTCAACGGTTAGAAACCTACTTCGACGATTACCATTCGAGAGTATAAATAGAAGAAAAGGCCAACAGAAGAAGAACCTAGACTCAGATCCAGAAACCAGTTATTTACTTCATATTTTGCTTTCCAGCTTTTACATTCCCAGTTCTTCAATTCCTGTACTACACCTCAATTCTTAGGAGTAGGCCATTGAAGGTTCTTATTATTTAATAAAATTCAGTTCATAAAACTATTTTTATCTATTGTTATTTTCCATATCTTTAAAACCGTCTCTTAAGCAAAGCCATCAGTAAAAGTCCTTTTCATTGAGACTGAAAGAATTTCAACACAATCGCCTGATAATTGGTTGGCAATTAAAATTTCTGTAAGGACTTATTGATCCTTGTTAGCACACTTAAAATTACATTATTAACCTTTGAAAGTCCAAAAAAGCCAACATATATTTTTGGCACGCCTAGTGGAACTATAAATAATGGCTAGACGTAGGAGACAAGGAGAAAATGAACACCCGGAAGAAAGTGTTGAAGGAGAGATAGAAGCACCTAACCCAGAGGATAATGTAATATCACATCCTATGGATACACCTGTCCCATCAGATCCTCCACAAATGATCGAACAGACCAGCACTGCAGAATATGCGACACATGTCCAAAATACTGGATAGGGCCATGAAACTGGACCATCAACTGCCCATTCTACCCAACCAATGAATCCATGGGGAGGTTTAGTAGATGCTATGGGACAACAACTAATGTATACAGTGAAAAAATGGGGGACATCTATTATAGATTAAATGAACTCTCATTAACCAACTGTCGTAAGGCAGGCTAAAGAAAACATGAATTCTCTTCAGCATAGATCGACTCGAGATAAACAGCCTATGCAAAATAATGGACAAACTAATGGTCAGGCTAGTAATCAAAATCATTAGAGGTCATCACCTGTGCCTCAATCATGGTATGAAGCTCCGTTGAAACCATTGGTAAATCAAAATGTACCATTATCTACTAGCAAAACCATACAACTTGGTGGGTTTGGGCCAAAACAAGGGAATGGCATGAGGATATTTTCAAATCCCATGTTTGAAACCATGCCTGACACACGGGTGTTCACTAATCCTATGTTTGAATTTGCACCCGAGGAGTTGGTAGGGGTTTCTGCGGTTGGGAGAGAAACAACACACAACACCTGTTCCTCCTCCTGCAGGGCCTTTGACAGGGCAGGCCCCAAGAGGTCAGCCATACCTTCAAGAGCAACCAGCATAACAAGGACAACCAGTCCTAAATGTACCTTTATATGGACGAAGAGTACCTTAGGCACATGGAGTTCCTCCAAACCCTGTGTTTGCTCCTCCAGTAATGGTCCAACCAGCACAAAACACGGTTCCTACGGACCAAATTGCTGACATTGTTAGAGAGATAAATGGACCCATGGCTTGGGAGGTCCAGAGACTCTTGTGTACAGAAAACCTTACCCAGAATGGGTGGATAGGTTACATGAATACCCAAAAGAATTTAGAATACCAGATTTTGCCCTTTTTTATAGAAATGGGAACCAATCAACGGTGGAACACATTGCCAGACTTACAGGCCAGTGTGGTAAGTTCACCAATAATGATTCCATGAAATTGAGGTTTTTTCCAAACTCTCTAACTGGGACAGCCTTCGTATAGTATATAAACCTTACACTTGACTCTATCTAAACCTGGCAACAAATGGAGTAGGTATTTCATGCCCAGTTTTTTAAAACAGAACCTGAGGTTTCTATGGCAGACTTGGCAAGATTGAGCCAAAGGCCTGATGAGAAGGCTGCTCAATTCATTGCCAAATTCAAAAGGGCACGAAATAAATGTAGGGTCATACTACCTGAGCCTGAATTTGTAAGGTTGGCCCAAAATGCGCTGGAGTTTAGGTTTCAAAAGAAGTTTGATTCAACAGAGTTTCGAGACTTAATAGAATTAACCTATAAAGTTCTAGATATGAAACCTTACTTAAAGAAGAACAAGACCGAAGCAATGCATCCTATAAGACCTATTATAGGGACCCTAACTTTGAAAATGATGCAGCAAAGATCATAGGAAAAGAACCTATGACCTGTGAAGCATTGGTTCAGAAAGATACTACAATTGACCAACAATTTAAAAAGAAAGACCTTCATAGGAAGTATTCTTTTGACATAACAAAAGCAGATGACATATTTGATCATTTGCTAGCAGCACATTTCTTAAAGTTGCCTAAGGGAGCTAAGATCCCAACTTCTAAAGAACTTACAGGAAAATTGTACTGCAAATGACATAATTCTTGGTCCTGCTCAACTAAAAACTGTATTGTTTTTCGAGACAGGATCCAAGAACAAATTTAGAAAGGGAGACTGAAATTTCCAACCAAGACTGAAAAAATCATGGGAGTTGATACCAACCCATTTCCAGAAATTGGAGAGGCAGCAGCTAATGTTAGCATACTAGATTTCCAGAATCTCTCTTTGAAGGAATTGGAAGAAGCAATGTGTAAATGCATATTGCTAGCTAGGCTACCTTCAAGAAGAACACGAGGTTCACCAGCCAGTGGACAAAGCTTTGCAGGTCAAAGAAACGGTTCTAGTGAAGAAGCATTGGATGATGACTCCCTTGAAGCAGATGCAAGTTGAGCTATAAATGGCTGAAGGGACTCCCAATTGATGGGAAGCAGTACTACAAAGATTTGCAGAGAGACTATAGCTAGCCAACACCTACAACAAGAAGCCATACCCAACTGGTCCTAGACAGTAGCCATTTTTGATTGGGCCACCAGATACCAAAATGCAATCAAAAGTCAAGAGACCTCTACATGAGATCAAACCGCCTAACTATTACAAGGTGGGCAACCAACCATAAGGAAAGCCTGAATTTGGCTCAAGACAGGAAACCAGGGCTAATGATTGGCCTCCAAGGACCACTTCGAAGATAGCTTCGAAGATAGGGGTAGCAAGCCCAGCAACTAGAGCAGTGGGTTCATGGGTCCCTAGGATTCCAGATTGGTTTGTCATGCAGAACAAACCTAAAGTAATGCCTACCCAAAGAAAGACTTTCGGAGACAAGGGAAGAATGATCAAGCCTCCTTTGATGGCTCCAAATAATTGGGTTCTACTCAAAAACCCAAAGACAAGGGAACCAAATATGATTCCTGTGATCTCCAAGTCCCAGAGGAGAAAGATCCAGCGAAGGTATACCCAGTATCAGAAGGATCTGAAAAAAATGGAGAGAGTACTTCCTCAGCGTAGTCAAAAGGCAAGACAAAAGAAGGAGAAGTTCAAAGCCTGGTCCTAGGATCAAAAGGAGTGCCAGCAGAGAACAATTGGCTAAAGTTCAAGCTGAACTAAGAGCCAAAGAGAGATCCAATTTAGTAGGCCTCGAAAAGGCCTTGACGGAGAGTGATGATGAGACAAATGAAGAAATTGAACAAGGCCAAGAAAAGGTATTGGCTGAAGATGAAATGTTCAAAGCGTTCATGGCTGAACAGACCTTCATGGTTGAAAAGCCAACAGAGGTAGATCACCAACAAGCTGCTTCGAAGGAACCTATTAGTTTTGAGGTACCAGAATGCAACATGGAGGATGCTTCCTTAGCATTAGAGCAAACCAATATGGAAGGAGAGCAAACACAGCTAGCAGTACAATTTGGCTCATTCCCTCCAGTGCCAGTTAATATGGTTTATGTGTTGCCTCAGGAGTTCCAAGCTGAGAAGGAGAACCAAGAAGGCCAGGAGGATGACCCTATTCTAGTTTCCAGTGAGGATTCACAAACCAACATGGTCCAAGATGAATCTGAGGTGACCAGGCCCATGAAAACTGATGAAGAGAGTGAAGAGATGAGCATTAACCTCTCATACCCCTTCCAATAACCTACAGTATCCATAGCCCAACATGTTAAGCCCTTGTACATTAAGGCTTACTTCGATGGAATAGAAATGAGTAGAATGTTGGTGGACAATGGGACAACAGTGAACCTGCTTCCACGATCTTCCTTGAAGAAGATGGGGAAAAGAAATCCCAGGTTGATCCCAACAAGCACAACCAGTGTTGTGAAAAGCGCGCCTAGGCGCACGCCTAGGCGCAAGGCGAGTCGAGGCGCACCATTTGCGCCTGTACAGGTCCCAGGCGAGGCGACTTGAGCCAAGCAAGCGCCTTAGCTGCGACTGGAGCAAGGCGAGAGAGGCGCAAGGCTCTCGCCTAGGCGCGACTGATTGTTTAAGATGTAGATATGATCTAACGACTCAGATGAACCTTTCGAATGGCTCCTAATCACACAGGATTACAACTCATGTACCATATGAGCCAAATAGGACTCAATGAACCCTAATCGAACTCGTCTCTTCCTCTTTCGCCTCGCAATCGACTTCGACTTTGACTGGGCTGCCGGAGTTGGACCTGGACTTCGACTTCGACTGCGACTACGACTACGACTGCGACACTGGACTTCGGCTTCGGCTTCGGCTTCGGCTTCGCAGGTTCGACTTCAACTCTCTCTCCCCTTCTCCTTCTTCTTCGTCTTTGACAGTTATGGTTCGACTTTTATTTTTATTTATTTATTTATTTTTTTTTGGTCGACTTCTTCAGTGCTCTGATTGCCTTCGACTCTTCCTCACTCTCCTTCTTCAGCTTTGTTTTGCTTCTTTTTTTTTTTTTTTTTTCTTTTGTTTTTCAATTATTTGAGTTGAGTCTCTGAAAAAAAATGTAAGGGAAGAATTTATAAAAAAAAATTACAAAAATTAGGGAAAAAAAATTTATTTGTAATATGCTATGAAAATTATTTGTAATATGTAAGAGAAGAATTTATCTGTTAGGTTAGGAAAAAAAATTCAAATAATTAATTATTCACAAATAATTAATTATGTGTAATATGCTATTGATATTTTTTTTTCTTTATCTGTTAGGGAAAAAAAATTATAAATAATTAATAAATACAATGTGGTATTAGTCTTTTTTTTTTTTTTTCCTTTATCTGTTAGAGATTAAATTTGTTTTCCATTTATTCTTTTAATACAATTATTTTTCCTTTATTAAATTTGTTGGGTAGAAAATGACATCGGAAAGTAATAGAAAAGATCCGGCGTGGCAATATGCCCATTTGGTAGAGGAGAATAATTTAAACAAGTTCGAGTGTAATTTTTGTGGTAAAGTATCAAATGGAGGTGTTTATCGGGTGAAACAACACCTCGGGGGAGGTTATAGGAATGTCACTGCTTGCCCGAAGTGTCCTTCTCATGTAAGAGAAGAGATTAAAGAGTTCACGTCAAAAAAAAAAGACACAAAAAGAAGAAATGAACATGTTGCCTGATTTCGATGACATGGACATGGAAGATGAAGATGAAGATGAAGATGAAGATGAAAATGATGATGTCGTTGAGATCAATGTCAATCAACACCGTAAGTTGACAAGTAGTAGCCAAGGTTCATCCAAATCCAAATCCAAATCAAAAATGCCAAAGAGAAAAGGGCCTATGGATGTTTACTTCACACCCAATCCTGAATCAGTGGTGAAAAATCAAAGAGACCAAGCAAAAGGGAAACAAATCAAAATTGATGCAAATGACCCTTACAAAAAAGAAATGAGCTCGGGCAGTACAAAGATTTGCAAGGTGGATGTATGATGCTGGTATCCCTTTTAATGCAGTAAATTATGAGAGTTTTGGACCAATGATCGAAGCCATTGGCCAATATGGTTCTAGTATGAAGCCACCGACTTACCATGAAGTGCGGGTTACCCAACTCAAAAAAGAAGTGAAACATACTGAAGATTTGATGAGGAATCATAAAGAGGATTGTGCAAAATACGAGTGTTCCATAATGGCTGATGGTTGGACTGATAAGAGAGGAAGGACATTGATTAACTTTTTAGTTAATTGTCCAAGAGGAACCATGTTTGTTGAGTCGGTTGATGCTTCTAGCTATTCAAAGGATGGGCAAAAGCTATTTGAATTACTAGACAAGTTTGTGGAGAAAGTTGGAAAAGAGAATGTGGTGCAAGTTATCACTGATAGTGCTGCAACTAATGTGTTGGCGGGTAAGAATATTTCCTCATTCCTTACATCAAAATTGTTTACTCATAGTTTGTTTTGTATTTGAAATTTACAAACTTGAAAATAATAATTCTTCGTTATTGTTATATTATAGGGAGGTTTTTGGAAGCTAAGTATGAACACTTGTATTGGACACCATGTGCTGCTCATTGTTTGGACTTGATGTTAGAAGACATTTTCAAGATACCTAGACTGAAAAAGACATTTGAAAGGGGTATTGCAGTACATGACTACATTTACAATCGGCCTACGTTGCTAAACATGATGAGGCGCTATACAAATTTGAAGAATTTGATCAAGCCTGCAAAAACTAGATTTGCAACTGCCTTTTTGACTTTGTCTAGGATGCATCAACAAAAAAACAATTTGAAAAAGATGGTCACCTCCGAAGACTGGACCTCAAGCAAATGGGCAAAGGAGCCACAAGGTAAAAGAATGGCACAAACTTTGTTGATGATATTCGAAATCATTGACAAAAGATGGGATGTCCAATTGCATCAGCCTTTACATGCAGCTGCGCATTTTCTTAACCCAGAATTCTTTTACCCAAAAGCTTTAGAGGTGCAAAAAGATCATGAAGTAATGAATGGGTTTTATGAATGCATGCAAAGGTTGGTCTCGGATGTCAATGTTCAAGATTTGATCACTGATGAGATGAGTATTTATATGAAGGCTGAGAGTCTTTTTGGCCAGTCTGTTGCGATTAGGCAAAGAAATACAAGAGCACCAGGTAATATATTATAGAATCATAGAGTTCATTTTTAGCAATACTTTTAGTAAAACTCAATACTTGGTAACAGTTATTTCTAACTAGCGGATTATCGCAGCTGATTGGTGGGCATCATATGGTTCTTATACTCCAAACTTACAAACTTTTGCCATAAAAGTCTTTAGCCTAACATATAGTTCATCGGGTTGTGAATGAAATTGAAGTGTATTCGAACATGTGAGTATTTAACATTCTAACTAATTTTTTGTTCAATTCAAATATTTTTTATTCTCATTATATATAATTTAATATCTTTTTAATACTTGCAGCTTCATAGCAAGAAAAGAAATAGATTGGAACGTCTCAATGATTTAGTGTATGTCAAATACAATAGAACATTGACATTTAGGTATGACATGCGCAACACTCTTGATCCCATATCTTTGCCAAATATTGATGAAAGTAATGAGTGGTTGCTTGGGAGGATGTATGGAGAATCAGATGAAGATAATGAGCCTGTTTTTGATGATGATGATGGCTTGACGTGGGCCATTGTTGCTAGAGCTTCTGGAGTAGAAGAAGTAGCCATGCAAGTAGAGCAACAAGTTCACGCTCAAAGGCACAACCGAGGATATCTAAATCATCAACATTGACTCCACCTCAATTAATAGATGAAGAGGAAGCGGGCTCAGATGACACAGAGGAGGAAGATGTTGAGGGATATAAATCAACTGATGGAGAAGAAGATGTTGCCATTGATGTTGAGGATAATGATTGACTGACACCGACCTAACCTACTCTTTCTTTTGATATTGATGTTTTTAAGTGTTAAAACGTATATTAGTATTTGTTGGATATTTATATTTTGGATGTTTAATGTTTATGTTTTTATTTTTATTTTATTGAATGTGGATTATTTGATCTTTGAAAATTGAAATGTTATATAATATGCACTTTCATGGCTTTGAGAATTATTCTAAATTTTTCTATTTTTTACAAAGACTGTGCGCCTTACTTCAATAAAGCCCGCGCCTCGCCTTGCGCCTAGGCCCTGAGAGACCTTCAGCGCCTTAGTGCGCCTTGAGCCTTTAAAAACACTGAGCACAACCATTGCTGGTTTTGCTAAAGACAAGCAGATGGCTCAAGGCATTCTACCTATCAACCTGAGTGTGGGAACTAGAAACTGTATGATAGCATTTTTTGTCATACACAGCAATGCCAAATATAATGCTTTACTTAGCAGAGATTGGATCAACACAAACAAATGTGTGCCTTCTTCTTTGCATTAGAAGATAATGATAGCACTATGCAATGGGAAAACAAAGGAGATCAATGCAGATCCACAGCTCTATTGCCTGTGCAGATTTTGCAGAAGCTAAGTTGTACACTGAAGGGGTGGTACCACTTAGTGTACTAAGGAAGTCTGATATAACAGCCAAAGTGACTACTGATGAGGAAGTGGCACACCTGAAGCATCTAGTGCAGGAAAGTACAAATGAGGAGTTCATTATCAAAAATGTCAATGATGTCTGGTTGTAGGCAAAAAGATCAAGATCAAGAAGCCAAACCATTGGCTTTAATCAAATTTTCAACATTGGACATAGAGACAATAGTCCAAAAGGTGCAGGAAAAAGAGAAAAAAGCCATAGTGATTGGTTGTAGTCAGAGGCAACCAAGGGCCAGACCTTTGGCTCTTGGTAAAATTGTGTATTGGACATTGAAACTAAAGTCCAGAAAATACAAGAAGAAGAGGCTCTAAGGACAGATTTTGTCTATGAAGAAGAGAGTATGGATGTTGAACCATAAAGGGTAGGAGCAGGACAAGATGAAATGGTTGCTTCGAAGGTAGAAGAAGTCAAAGGGGGAGTATCAGTAGATGCTCAAGTGCAAGATCCCTTGGAAGAAGTCAACTTAGGGGAAGGTATAGTACAACAACCCACTTACATCAGTGCTTGGTTGGATCCTACTGGCAGGAACCAATTGTTGGTTGTTCTGAAACAATATAAAGATTGCTTTGCTTGGTCTTATAATGAATTGCATGGATTAGATAGGTCATTAGTAGAACATATGCTCCTAATGAAGCCTAATTTCAATCCACACAAGCAGAAACCAAGACGGATGAGCCCTGAAGTTGTTCAAAAGGTGAAAGAGGAGATTGTTAGGCTACTTAAAGCAAGCTTCATCAGAACAGCCAAGTATGTTGAATGGTTGTCCAATATTGTGCCTGTGGTCAAAAGAATGGCAAGATGAGGGTATGCATTGACTTCAAAAACCTGTATTTAATAACACCAAAAGATAAGTACCCCATACCTATAGTTGATTTATTGGTGGATAGTTCGGCAGGACACAGGATTTTTCCATGATGGGTGGACATTCTGGTTACAACCAGATCTGTATAGCAGAGGAGAGTGTTCACAAGACAGCTTTCAGGTGTCCTGATAACATTGGCACCTTCGAATGAGTTAAGATGCCATTTGGATTGAAGAATGCTGGGACAACATATCAGAAGGCAATGAACACTATCTTCCATGATCTCGTTGAAGGATATTTACAATGTTATATTGATGATATTATTGTAAAATCTCAGTCTATGGAGGAGCATCTGGTTCACTTAACAGCAGCCTTCGAAAGAATGAGGAAGTTCAATCTAAAACTCAATCCTCTCAAATATGCTTTTGGTGTTAGCTGGAAACTTCTTGGGGTATGTGGTACACAAGAAGGGAATACAGATTGATCAGAACAAAGCCAAGGCCATCATCGAGGCCAAACCTCCATCAAATAAGAAAGAATTGCAAAAACTCTTTGGTTAGGTTAATTTCTTTCGAAAGTTTATTTCTAACACTACTAGAAAAACTAAAATGTTTCTTCTTTATTGAAGTTAAAAAATGAAGAAGAATTTGTGTAGACAGTAAAGCATTAAGCTGCTTTTGAAGGAATCAAAGCCTACTTGGCCAAGCCTCTAGTATTGATGCCACCAAGGAGGGACAGACCCCTGAAACTATACATTGCTGCGGGAGAAGATTCATTGAGAGTTTTTCTGGCTCAGGACAATGAAGAAGGCAAGGAGCAAGCAATATATTACCTTAGTAGGTTTTTAAATTCTTGCGAATGTAAATACTCAGCTGTAGAAAAGTTGTGTTTAGCATAGTATTTTACAGCAGATACTCCCTCCATCCCAAAGTAATGGTCTCTTTTGGGGAATTCAACTTTTTTTAGTAGTACAATTATTGTAATTTAACAAAAAATAATTTTTCAAAATTACCCTTTGATAGTATATTTTTTGGGGAATATCAATGTCATGATTGTACTTTTTATGTTGTTAATGAATTTAAAAGAAGGGTAAAATAGGAAATTTATATTATTTTTGTACTTGATTTTTAAAAAGGGACAAATATTTTGGGACAATGAAAAATAAAATAAGAGACTAATATTTTGGGGCAGAGGGAGTATTATCTATTGCCTACTGTTGTCTTAATAATTGCAACCACAGATTTGGTTAAATACATGTTATCTAGACCTATGCTAAAAGGAAGAATCGGCAAATAGATTTTAGCCTTATCAGAGTTTCATATAGAATATATTCCCCAAAAGGCAGTAAAAGGACAGGTTTTGGCTAACTTCTTGGCTAATCATCCACGTCAAACAGAAAACTAAGAGATAATGGAACTTGGCACAATTGATGTTAAGTCATGGCAAATATGGTTTGATGGATCAAAAGCCAATAGTCTAGTCGGAATTGATGCTGTAATTAAGTCACCACAAGGGGTAGAAACCAGACATGGTTTCAGAATTGATGAACTTATTTGTTCCAACAACCAAGCTGAGTATGAAGCTTTAGTAATGGGACTTGAGATACTTATTAGATTACAGGCTCATGTAATTGATATATTTGGAAATTCCCAGTTGATAATCAACCAAGTAAAATGAATTTTTAAATGTCAAAGTGCAAGTATGTTACCATATTATGTTGCTACTTTACATTTGCTTTCTCAGTTTGAAATAGTAAATATGACTTATATCCCAAGATTCATGAATCACAAGGCCAATGATGTAGCTCAAAAGGCTTCGAACTTCAAAAGACGGGTTGACACTCAAATGGACATAAGTCAAGCAATGTATCAAAAGCTAATATCACCTTTGGCTAAAAGGGGCATCATGGTAAAAATTAATCGAAATGACTTGCAAGAGCAAGATTGGAGGCATCCAATCATTCAGTATTTGGCTAGTCCATCTTCGAAGGCCAGCAGAAAGCTTAAATTACAATCTATGCAATGCAGAGTCTATGAGAATGCTCTTTACAAAAGAGGAGTAAATGGTCTCTTATTAGAGTGTTTGGGACCAAAGGAAGCCTTGATTGCCATGGCTGAAGTACATGAGGGCATTTGTGATGCTCATCAACCTAGTGTGAAGATGAAGTGGTTGCTTCGAAGGCATTCCTATTATTAGTCAACCATCCTTAAGGATTGTATAGAGTATGCAAAGGGTTGTCAGACATGCCAAAAGCATGGCATGATAAGACATGTGCCAATAACTAATCTACATGCAATACTGAAGCCTTGGCCATTTAGAGGGAGAGCAATGGATATGATAGGGATAATATATCCACCCTCTTCGAAGCAACATTGTTTGATTCTAGTGGCTACAGATTACTTCACTAAATTGGTCGAAACTAAGCCTTATAAGACTGTAGATCAGACTGAAATTATTGGCTTTATCAAAAAGTTGATCCATAGGTTTGGCATTCCACAGGCCATCACTGTGGATAGTGGGACTATGTTTGATGGAAAGATAGTAAAATCTTCGCATAAGAATTTGGAATTAGTCTTACTAATTCCACCCCTATTATGCACAAGCAAATGGTCGAACTGAATCATCTAACAAATCTTTTAAAAGGGGAATACAAAGAGTAATGGAAGCAAGGTTCTGAAAAGCAGTTGCGGTCGCCGTAACGGTGGCGGTGACGTGGTTGCGGTTGTGGGGTGTAAAGGCCGTAGTGTAACGGTTGCGGTAATCGGAACCGTAAATTTTTTTATTTTTCACACAATTTGAAAAAAACTTACAGATACGCATATTTTTTTTCCATGATCATATTTATTGGGTTAAAAATAAATATTGATCAATTTTTGCAAATTTTTAAGTATGATCCAATATATTTCATATTTCTAAATCACTATAAATTGAGTTTTTTATATTTTATTTTAATAATTAATGATTTTATATTATACAAAAAATCAATCACTAACTACTATATATAAGATAAACAATGACAAAAGTAAGAGAATAAATAAAAGCCTAAATATATATATATATATATATACATATTTTAACCAAGCCAAATAAATAATGACCACACTTATTATTATTATTATTGTTATTATTATTATTATTATTATTATTATTATTCTCAATCTCAAACAATATATAGATAGACACACACAAACAAAATGATTTAGTGATAGCAGCTAAATAGAATAGCATAGGTCTTACAGTTTCAACAAATTAATAACATGTTCTTCATCTTCCCTATTCTCTCTCTCTATCTGTTGCTCCTCCATTTTCTCTCTTTTATCTTCCCTCTTCTCTCTATCCCTCTTCCCCCATTTTCAACCTTTTTTTTTGTGTTTTTTTGAAAGAAACAGTTTGGAACCGTTACGTAACTGTGCGTAACAGGCCGTTATGGCTGTTACGGCACCATTACGACTGCTACGGCAGCCTCTACAGCTGACACACCTGTGAATCTCAATCACACTACAAAAGCAGCAGCAACGGGTGGCGGTAACCGCCAAAACCGTTACGTAACGGTTGCGGCCGCTTTTTAAAACCTTGAATGGAAGACAATCCCAGGGATTGGCATAATTTTTTGTTAGATGTGTTATGGGCTTATAGGAATTTTCCAAGATCAAGTACAGGAATCACCCCTTATGCCTTAGTGTATGGGCATGCTGCAATGTTGCCTATAGAAATTAACATCAAATCCTTGAGGGTAAAACTCCAAGACCAGTTTACTACTGAGCAATATCATCAGAGCATGTTCTTAGAATTAGAAAATGTGGATGAAGCTAGAATTTTGGCATTGAATAGTATCATTTCCAAAAGAAAAAGGTAACCAAAGGCTATAATAAAAAAGTCAAGCAAATTAGCTTTAATGAGGGTGATTTGGTGTGAAAGACAATACTTCCAGTGGGCATTAAAAGCCATAAATTTGGCAAATGGTAACTTAATTGGGAAGGGCCATACCAAATTTAGAGAGTCCTGCTTGGGGGAGCCTACCATTTGAGAAATCTAAATAGTTATGTGCATCCTAAGAGTATCAATGTGAGATATTTGAAACCTTATTTTCCACTGTGTGGGAAACACAAGGAGTGTAAGAAATGCTAAGTTAGTGTAATAAATGAGCATTGAACACTCAAGGGCAAAATATATACAATAAGGATTTTCATTTCACAAAGATTTAAGTATACGAAGCCATAAATTGGCCCAAAAATCAGTACAATGTCTTTGTTGTTCCCTTACAATTGACTCTCTACTCCTAAGGGATGGGAACAACCGTATAGCTGTAGCCATCTCCTGCCTCCTGTCAGATAGCCTTGGCTAGTAGTTTGTAATCTCTCAGCATTTTGATCCAATGCTAGGTTAACTGCTGCTAACTCCTTCAGCTGGGCCTTCCTCTGCAAGAGTTGGGTTCAAAGTTGAGAAGCACAAGAGTGTTGTCCCTTCAAATCAAACACTTCAACATGAATTTGAGATACAAACTCTTTGTCCTTCAATATCTCCTTTTCTGCAGCTTTGGCCATATGGCAAATATTGATATAAAAGTCAATGGATAAGTAGCTTACGAAGGCCATGTTGGACTGCTCAAAGATTTTGCAACACTTGAGGAAACTATTTTTGATCATGGGTTTTTGTAGGGCTTCAAATGGAAGCCTCGAGAATGATCTCAACAAGTCCAAGCAGTTGCCTAAGTCCACCCGAGACCAAGAGGTTTCTGCAACAGTGGAAGAGCTCTAAAAAATCTCCAAAAGGGAGTTAGCAAGGATCAATGGCTCAGTCTCACTGCTTGTTGCTCGAGCTGGTGGAGATATATCAAATACGCTAACCAGCTGGGCTTCAAAGATGTCCACCTCTTCCTCTGACATTAGCAATACAGAGGAATCAATAATTGAAGGAAGAGATGGAAGCATGGGGATAGGAGAGGGAGTAGAGGATTTCCCAACAGTATCTATGGTCCTGGCTATCAGTAAGTCGAGAGAAGAGGGACTAGAGCTGGATGGTAGAGAGGAAATTGGTGAGCTGCCAGTGTCATCTTTGAAAACACCAGCTGCCACTAAAGAAGAAGTAACAACTGGAGTTCTCTCAGAGTCTCAGGTGATAATGGGGTAGCCAGGACTCTGGGAGAAGTCTGCAGAGGTAAGGCAATTAAGATCAGGGGCAGGTTCAAGGGGTTGAAAGAGCCAGGAGAAAGGGAAGATGGAATGCTTGGCCTCAAGGAAAAAAGGGAAGAAGGCATGGGGAGTGTAGAGCCAGAAAGTGGAAGCATTAGCTGGAGGGATTCTACACTCATTGGCACTCCAAGATTAGCTTTCCCTTTTCCTTTTAAAGTTACCTTTAGTTCTGAGGAAGTCAAGAAGGGCCCCTCATTCCCAGACAAGGTAGAAGAAGGTAATGTTGAAGTGGGAAGGGGTAGGCTGGCTGCTGCTGCATTTCAAAAAACAAAAAGATGTTAAATTAAATGCTAAGCCTTGGAAAAGAAAATTTGTCAAAGTTACAAGGGACTAAGGGAAATTACCAACTTCAGTGGTTGTAGTGGTAATGATGGGAGAACTGCAAAGGGCATAATGATCAACAGTTTTACTCCTCGCAGTTTGCTTCTTTCTTGCCTCAGGAGCTACAGCTTCTTCCTTTTGTATTTGTTGCTGCCTCCTCTTTTCTGATCTCTGAAAAATAATAATTTCCTTGGACTGTTCCTTCTCCACTGCTTTGGCATGAGTGGGGTTCCTGATGAGCTCAGAAGGAGAGAATGTCTTCTTCTTTCTTTTCAATGGCGCTTCCTCTTTTCCTTCTTCCTCCTTCTCTGAATGAGCTTTAGGTGCTTCCTCTTCAAAGTCAAGCAAAAGTTTTCTTTTTCTTTTTCTTTTTCTTTGTTGTTGTTGCTTGCCCTTGAGAATATCCAAGGCCTGAGTCCTCTTGGGAGATTCCTCCTGAGAAGTCCCTGCAGCTAAGTTTGAGGAAGAAATATATAAGTAAGGGATTCTGAAGGGAGGGAAAAAGGAAAAAGTAGAAGTGTGTACCCTTCTTTGAGATGGCCCTGGTAACTCTAAGAGGAGGAGATGAGGCAGCAGGAGCAATGATGGAAGCAATGGTGATGCCAGTCTCCTTGGGCTTGACTGATGGCACATCTAGCCCTTTCAGCAGATCCTTGGGGTACATAACCAAGTGCACCTCCATGTTGGCTATCCACCAATTTTGATATCTCTTTAGGGCGACGCCTTGTGGGATGAAGGGAAAGAATTCAAATTCATCCAAGTCTGTTATCAGTTTGAAGGTTGCTTCATTCAACCTGGTTTTGGGCACCTTTAGTTCTCTAGTTGCAAGATCTGAATTAGAGAGGCTGCAGAGAGGGACAGGAATCCCCTGAATGAGCCCAAATTGCCTAGCACATTGGGAGGGGCAGTAGGCTTCAGAGATGCACTTGTAAGCTCGAGGATTCAATGTGCCAATAAAGAGCTCCCTTTGAATCAGAATAGAGGCCCACATATCTGTGTAAAGGCCTGGAGCATCTCTTATCAACCAAAAAAGTTCTCAGCCACGCTGGCCCTGTGTTAGCTTTGAAGGGGCAGAAGAAGGTGAAAAGGGAGGAAGCAGGGAGTTGATAGAAGAAAGTAAAGTAATAAGCAAAGTTGGAAGGGTAAAGGGAAACTCTGGCATATTTCTCTCCATAGGTAGTGGAGTCTCGCTCTAGAAATTTTAAACATCTGGAGTGCAAGTCAGTAAAGTATACACAAAGCCAGAGTTGGAGTACCCAATGGGCCTCCTTGATTAATATCCAAAGGTTTCTCACAAAATTGGGAGCAGCCCCTATAAACATGGCCTAGAACATAAGGAGCCAAGGCTATCTTCTTCTTCGAAGCAAGAGCCTTGGCAAGAGGGACAAACTCAGGCATAATCTTCTGAGATGAAGTACAAAAAAGGAATTTGCGTAGCCAATATAGAATAAATGAAAAGAACTCTCAATCGGTGACGGGACCTTCCCTCTTGTTTTTAGTATTTACAAAATCACTAAAGGAGGAGTCCAAGATGGAATGGTGAAGTTGACCGGAGGGTTTGGGTAATCAGGAGTGAAGGGATCACCAATTGATGAGAGCCCCAGGAGACGGCAGATATCAAGGACAGTGGGAGCCATCACACCATATCGGAATTGGAAAAAATTAAAAGATGAATTCCAAAAACAAAGGGCAACAGAAATCAAAAAGGGGTCTTCAGGATAATGAACCTGGAAAGACGAAGGGCATCGAGGATGCAGAGTTCTTGTAGGTTCCATTCTCTGGTAGGAACAACTCTATCATACCATTCCTCCCATTCTGTCCTCAATGTGGGCCACCAGCGGTGAGGTCGGTTCATCCTCTACCTTCCCCAATCAAGCTTCCCTTCGTAAAGAAGTTGGTGATCCTCCAAGCGAGGGTACAGAGCAGGAAACTGGGCAGGGGCTTCTCTGAAGATAGGTTCGAGGATGTATTCCCCTTAAGCATGGTGACGGGGGACGAAGATGCGCCCATCAATGGCACTTGGTTCACCAGCTTTGTATTTGTCAATCTCTTCATTGAGACACCTCCTCAAAGCCACAGACGAGCTCATACGCTCAATAACTGGTACTTTCGAGGAGGAAGAAGCCATTTAGTGAGAGGTTGAAAGAAGGGTGTAAAGAGTGAATTTGAGAAGGGTAAGAACTTAAACTCGATAGCAATGAGAGTGAAAGGGAAATACTAGACAAGTGAATAGGAAAGATCGCGAGAAATTGGAGTTTTAAACCTTTCTTTCCAAAATTACCCATTCAACCTAACAGGTCAAGTAGACCCAAATCAATCAATTGATTATTTTGACCCGTGTGGGATTAAGGCCTTTATTTTAAAACAAAAGCGGGTCCTGAAAACACAAGGAGGAAAGTTTCCTTAAAGAGCAGCATTTTGGGAGGGAAACACATTTCAAATACTCAACTTGGCTTCGAAAACAGGTAGTTGGCTTCAACAAAGCCAGTTTTACACGTTAAACTCAAGTATAGTTGGGGTTTGTTTACTTCAAAGGTTTTGAGGGTATGCTCTTAGGCTTTCCATAGAAGGCAATTTCCTTCAAAGGAGTCTTTGTAGTATTCTGTGATTAGAATATGGCTCTTGCCTGATTTTTTGACTCCAAAATAAGTAAGCACTACAAAGCGAGTACTTGGTCAAGCAATGTGGAAATTTCAAAGACCAGAGGACTAACCCACACATAAAAGTACTTTCTTGAACTTTCTATTAAAACAAACCCCTTTGAAGACAAATATTGTCACTTTAAAGAGAAACTCCATGTTTCGAGAAACGTAAACTAGGCTTCGAAGCAAGATTGGTTACTTCGAAGCTGCCACTCATAGATTATGTGAACAAAGTGAGGGATAAGGTTATATTAACCATACAATTGGAATATGAAAAACCCAATTTTATTGATATAAATACTTACATTGGGAGGGCTTATTTGGCTACATTCTCAATCTCATAAAAGTAAGGAATGGACAATGTAACAAGGTCATGAAATTTTGTCCAGCAAAACTCAATAAATACATATTTCTTTTCCAGCCTTTCTTCTATCCTAACCAAGTTTGGTTTGTCTAATTGATGAGCCCTTATTTAGAAGAAGAGTTGTTAGGCCTTCATTTCAAACATTGTTTGCTTAAGAGCTCTCTCCACTTCATCCATCTCTCCCCTCCCATGCGTATCACGCATGTTGACATCTTCTCCATACTCTGAATCCTGGTTCTTGAAGTCCTCATACTCTTCAAGAAGATTCTCTGCCTTGTACTGGGTCTGAATGCAAGCAGCAGAGATCTCCTCCAGGGATTCACTACTAGCAGAAGCATTTTTGTGCCAGTTCAGCAGTAAAGGGAGCTGATCCAGGAAAGTGCGAAGCTCTGCCTGGGCCACAGGGTTGAGAATGCATCTTCGAGAGACAATATCACAAGCCCATAAAAGATTCTTGTGAGGGATGTCATCTCGAAGGACCTAGAAGGATAAGTGAGAGAAAGCAGCAAGCAGAGTCTAGGCCTCTATATTGCTGATAAACAAGAGGAACTAGAGCCTGGTTAGGAGCAAAATGCTGGCTTTCGAAAAGGGTAAGCTTCAATTCCTCAATCCAATTAGGGTTGGAAGGTAGGAAAGGAGCAGTTGAGTCCCCGCCAAATGAAGGTGGAAACTGGGGCTCGTTCACACATTCTAGCCAGTCAGAGGAGCAAAGTTTTGCTTTCTTGGCAAAGAGTTAGGGGCTGATTCCCAAAGCTTCAATGGGGTGCGGGGTCTTTCGCACTATTCTAGTCGGCAAGGTAGAAGTGTACCATGCTGAAAGCAAGTTGTCTTCGAGACTACGAAGACGGTCGAAGGGAACATATAGATAGACTACAGAGTTACTCATAGAGGGGTGGATTGCAGTGGGGTCATCAAATTCAGGAAATCGATGGTGGATTTGCTCCCTTGTTTGAAGTTGAGCTGGTGTGGGCCAAGTACACCAGCTAGTATTTCCAGAAGAAGAGGAAGCAGATTCATCCCATGCAGAGAGTTTTTGAACAGATGAAGAGCTTCCAAGATCCATTTGTGCAAGTGCTTGGCCCAGAGACTCATATTGTGCAAAAGCTTCCATAACTTGTATAAATGGAGGTGGATAAATGTGGCCAACAAATGCATGAAGGTTCTTTCGAGATTGATCATCATTGTCCAAAACTCTTCATATGCTTGATCAATGAAAGAAGCGGGTTGGTTAGCCATCAGGAGAGTATCAGTCCTTTCGTTTACGTAGATAATGGAGGTTCAAATCGCAAGGAAGAATTTAAAGAAGGTCAATGCGTCATTGCCCGGAAAATGGTTACACTTCCAAAATAAACAAAGTCCATGCACGTCCTAGGACGTGGGCAAAGTACATTGACCCACTAATATCGCCAAGTATTCGGTATATTAGTGTGGAGGGTAATGTTGGCTATATATTTTGTATAAGCCAATTGCAGCTTAACACGTGGCTCATAAAGGGTAATTTAGGGAGTTAATACAAGTCTCCAATCAACGACAGACACGTAGCAGTTCATATTAGAAATAACGGATCTGCGCAGCATTGGAGCAGTTAGAAGGCGCAAGATGACGTGGCCCAACGGTTACTCACAATTCAAATTCAAATTCAAATTCAGGAGAGAAGCCTAACTACAAGAATGGCGTAGTGGAAGCTAACTGTGCGAGGCCATGACCATATATCGTGGAAGGGCATTTCAACGGTTAGAAGCCCACTACGACAATTACCATTAGAAAGTATAAATAGAAGAGAAGGCCAACAGAAGGACCCAGACTCAGATCCAAAAATCAACTACTTATTTCATATTTTTCTTTCCAGTTTTTAAATTCCCAATTCTTCAATTCATGTACTACACTTCAATTCTTAGGAGTAGTTTCAAGTAATTTGTTGTTGTGAACCTCTTTGAGGCTGGGTCATTGTAAGTTCGTATTATTTAATGAAATTCAGTTCATAAAATTGTTTTTATCTATTATTGTTATTTTCCATATCTTTAAAACCGTCTCTTAAGCAAAGCCACCAGTAAAAATCCTCTTCATTGAGGCTACAAAAATTTCAACACAATCGCCTGATAATTGGTTGGCAATTAAAATTTTTGTAAGGACTTATTGATCCTTACTGGCACACTTAAAATTACATTATTAACCTTCAAAAGCCCAAAAAAGCCAATAGCAGCATGCGGCATGAGGCTATCCGCAGCATTAATGGGTGGGAGTCCCACATCGGTGTCAAACCATCACCTTTAAATTAGTTACATTTATGTTTGGGAGCTTTTAGCATATTCTCTAACTACATGTTAATTACTCAATTTATATTATATATTTAAATAATATTAAAATACTTTTTTTTTTAATTTTAAAATTTTAATTTAATTCCTTCCCTCGTGTCACTTGGCCTTTTTCTTCTTTCATCACCACTTCCTTCTCAGTTTTATTGTCTAATTTCGCCACACCTTAAAATCCAAGAAGACTGGAAAAGGAGTGCAACAAAAGAGCAAAATGAGAAGGAGAAGCAAAGGAAGGCGATGAGAAAGGAAACGAATTGGACTAGAATTGTGTAGTCGAAGGTGGAAGCAGTGAGAAAATGGGTAGCGGTAGAGGGGTGCAACAAGGCTAGGTAGGAGGAGGTGACAAAATTTGAGAGAAGTGGCGAAGAATGGAGGAGGTCGCGGCGGTTGTGGTAGTTAATGGTGGTGGCCAATAGCGTGTACTAAGAAATGGTGATGGTGGTGGTATGTACTAGAAGATTATGTTTTAAGGTATTATTCGAAAAAGTAATTTGCTTGACGGATAACATTCACTCTACTTGGTTTTGATTTCCAGAATTCACTTTTCAGAAAATTCTACTTTCTTATTTTACCATATATTGTGTGCTACTCAAGTGGTCAGAGTCTTCTTCAATACACTCAAGGTCTAAGGTCCAAGTCCCACTCCTCCCATTTGTCTATTTTTTTATTTTTATTTTTTTCAAATAGAAAAATGAGGGACACATGACATAAGAAATGAGAGACACGTGGCTTAAGAAAAAGCAAGCAAAGGCTTAGACACCAAGTTCAACCTTCCCTTAATATAATCTCTGTTATCAGAATCTTACGATTCGCAATTCGATTCATGATTCGATACGTAATTTTTGCAAAATCGATACGAATCTATGAGTGAATCTATTTCAGAAGTGAATCTCTAATGAATCGCACGATTCACAATCGATTCACGATTCGATTCAGTTTTTACGATTCATGCAATTTTTGAAATTATTGTGTTCGACATATTTTCGACTCATTTATTCCATCTTTTTAGTGAAAATGACATAATACAACTTCTAATAGTATTTAATACCAAAATAACCAACATATATATATGATTTGTAATATTTCTTCTAAAGATGTATTATATTGTAATATATCTTCTAAAGATGTATTATACAACTTCTAAAGATGTATTATATTGTAATATATCTTCAAAAAATTGTAATATATCTTCTAAAGATATTTAAGATTAGAGTTACACTATGAATTATCTATTACTATTTTATTAAATTGAATACTACATGTGTGAGGTCAGTTATACCTGTTAAAATGTTTTAGGCTTTAAAATAAAATATCCTAAATAATTCTTTCTTATTATTTGCTCACTCTTACTTAGAAAAGCATATATGCTTATTGTCCAAATATCAATATCGTTGTTAACTATTGTTACTTTAGAAATTAATAGTTTCTATTTGGTTATTACCTTTATTAAGAATGGTTGATAAAAAAATCTAAAAAAAATAAATAAAAATAAAGGTAAGATGGTGATTTTACATAGGAACCTTTGTTAACTTCTTATCTATTAAATTACGTGATTATCATTCAAAATAATATTTTTGTTGATTTAAGTTTAAATATTTTATATTCGTAAGATACATTTAATATCTAAATGTGCAGATATATGTTTTTAAGTGATTTAGAAAAAGTGATCGAATCTTTACGATTCGCGATTCGATTCGATTCGATTCGCGATTCGGTACGAGACCATTTCGATTCACGATACGAATCCCGATTTGACAACTATGAATATAATAGATAGATAATTATTATTAAAACGAAAAAAGTAAAAACAATAGAAGCTAAAAAACATATTCTCAAGACAATATATATATAAACAGTCCAAATAAATTCTACCAAACAAGACCATATGCTTATAAAAAGTGGGTAGCATATGTAAATTGACTAGGCTTCTATAATTTTTTTATTAGTAATTGTCTTATATTAATTTTTATTTTAATAATTATCTAATCCTTTTACACTCAACCCAACCCACCATTTGCTTGTGCAAAATTTGCCTTTCTTCCGGCCACTGATTAAAGATTCCTTGCTCTGCCCTGTCTCCCCCACTCTAGGAGTTTCCTTGTATTAATTATATGATATATTTGATCTTTATTATTATGATTATAGTTCATTAGCCCACAATATCACATATGAATACATAAATGCTCATGTTTAATTGCAAATCATAAATATGTATCAACACACTTAAGAAACTCAATTATCAACCCAAATAAATTCCACTAAACAAGACCATATGCTTACAAAAAGTGGATAGCATATATAAATTTAGACTAGGCTTCTATAATTTTTAATATATTGATTTATATTTAATAATTATTTAATCCTTTTACACATGACCCCACCCACCATTCGCCTGTGCGAAATTCGCCAATGCCTGTCTTCTGGCCCTTGATGGAAGATTCCTCACTCTGCCCTTTTCTCGCACTTTACGAATTTCTTTCTATTGGTTATGTAATGTATAAATCTTCATTATTACGATTATAATTCATTGGCCCCTAATATCATATATGAATAAATAAATTAAAAATGTTCACAATCTAATTGCAAGATAAATGCTTTCATATGAAATCATAAATATGTATCCACACACTTAAAAAGAAACTAAATTATCAACACAATTGACTTACCCAAAAGAAAAGAGGATACACCGAGCACAAATTCGAGTAACCCACATTGCTCTACACCTCCATTTGGGCATTGGGTTCTGCTTATCCATCCAACCGAGGAGAGCAAACTGAGTAGCCACATACCCAATCAACAAAGACAACCCAAACAACACGAGCCGAACAATCGCAATAGGCACACAAATCAGGATCTTCAACCACTCATAAACCCCTTCAATTTGCGGCGTGTGGTTGCGAAAGGGATCGATAGTGGCCGAGGAAGGCACGGAGAGAGGTCCAGCACCGAGAAACTCAAATGGGTTCTCAATCGCTGAATGGCTATTGTTAATCGGATCGGTTTCGTAGTTGTGAAGTCGACTTGGGGGTTCTTCTTCGGAACCCCAATCGTCGTCCACGGGTACAATCAATTGAGGCTCGTCGGAGGGATGAGAGAGGCGGTGTTTGGGTAGTAGAGGAGTGATGGGGTCGTGTTCCGCCATTGTTAAAGCTCAAGCGAGAGTGGAAGGTAGAGAGAGAAACTAGACTATACAGAGAGAGAGAGAGAGAGAGAGATTTGTGGTTTGTGAGAAGAGAAGCATCATCGGTTGTTTTCTGCGGCATGTGGCACGAGGCTATCCGCAGCATTAATGGGTGGGAGTCCCACCTCGGCATCAAACCAAACCATCACCTTTCAAATAGTTCCATTTACTATGTTTTCATTTTTCAAAAAAAAAAAAAAATCAGAAAATTTTACTTTTGTATTTTTTTTATTTTTATTGATTTTTTAATATTTTAGGTAATTTTTAAAATTTTTAGACATACCTAATTTAGATATATCTAAAAAATAAAAAATTTGTGAAGAAAACCTTTTAAAAATTCACTAAATACCTAAAATACAAAAAAAAATACAAAAATTTAGTATATTTTTTGTATTTTTATGTATTTATTAATTTTTTAAAATATTTTTTTTACAAATTTTTTACTTTTTAGATACATCTTTAAAATTTAAAAAATATTACTAAAACAAAAAAACACGAAAACCAAAAAAAATTAATTTTCAAAAAAATTAATTCAAAAAACTCAAACCAAACACACTGATTTAGGCCAAGTTTGACAAGTCCATAAAAAGCTAAAAAGTTAAAAAGTTAACACTATTCACCAAAAGTCAACAATTACGGTTGCACAACTCTCAATCATAATTTTTTCCTACACACTAATTTATACAATTTTTTAATACATATTTTTCTATAAAAAGTCAAAAAATTAATTCAAACATTCATATTTTTTTCTCAATTTTTTAGTCCAAAAAGACAAAAAGTACACTTATTTAAGACACCCCAAACAACCACTTATACTCGTTCGAAAAAAAAATAGTTCCATTTATATTTGGGAGCTTTTAGCAGATACTATAACTACATGTTACTTATTCAACTTATATTGTATATTTAAATAACATTAAAATACTTTCTTTTTTTTTAATTTTAAAACTTTAATTTAATTCCTTTCTTTGTGTCACTTGGCCTTTTTCTTCATTCATCTTCACTTCTTTCTGAATTTTATTGTTTAATTGTCTAATTTTGCCACACATTAAAATCCAAGAAGCCTGGAAAAGAAATGTAACAAAAGAGGAAAAATGTCACTTGGCCTTTTTCTTCATTCATCTCCACTTCTTTCTCAATTTTATTGTTTAATTGTCTAATTTTGCCACACGTTAAATCCAAGAAGTCTGGAAAAGAAATGTAACAAAAGAGGAAAAATGACAAATAGAAGCAAAGGAAGGCAATGAGAAAGGAAAGGAACTCGACCAGAATTGTGTAGTCAAATATGGAAGTAGTGAGAAAATGGTAGCGGTAAAGAGATGTAACAAGGTTAGGAACTGGACTAGAATTGTGTAGTTGAAGGTGGAAGTAGTGACACAAGGGTAGCGGTAGAGAAGTGAAACAAGGATAGGTAAGAGAGATGTGACCAAATTTGATAGAAGTGGCGAAGAATGGAGGAGGTCACATCGGTAGTGATAGTTAATGGTGGTGGCTGATGATGTACTAAGAAATGATGATGGTGGTGGTATGTACTAAGAGGTTATGTTTTAAGGTATTATTCGAAAAAGTAATTTGCTTGAAGGACAACATTGTAATTTTATTAAAAAAAATTAAAGATATATTGAGATAATGTGTAGCATTTAAATAGAAACTATCTTATTTTTTAGACTTGTTAACAAGTGTCTTTAAAACACACGTTAAGCAAATTTAGAAAAATTATATATTTTTTATTACACTTATTTTCATAAGAAATGTATAATTCTTTAAAGTTTTTTAACATATATTTTAAGGATACACTTTAACAAAACTCTTCAATTTTTTTTTTTTATATTTTAAATATTGAGTAAATCACCAAAAAAATAACTAGTTATGAAGGTGGAGTTTGGCATTAGTGATTTTTTAGCATTTTAACTTTTTTAAATCTAAAAAAAACAATGTATTTAAGAATTGATAATTACTTTTTTATTAGTAAAAAAGTTATAACTTTTAATTTTATTTTTATTTTTTTCAAAACTAACTAGTGAACCCAAAGTAATTTTTTTAATACCAATGTATTTTTTTATGAGTAAAAAAAAAACGATGTAAGTAACACTAAAAAATAAATTTAATTTAAAGTAATAAAAAAAAGAATAGACAATTTTGTTGGAGAGAACCCTCCCTGCGAAATGACAATTCATTTATAATGTTAAAAAATAATTTTATTTACGAAGCACTTTTCATTATTTTTTAGTAAATCAAATGTGAGCATAAACATTGTGATGGAATATGATCATTACTTCCTACTTTCATCTGTCAATTATATATATTATATAACAAAAATGAGATTTTTAGTGATGAGTATTGTAAAAGTTTCAATATTTTACATTAATTTTTTTAATTTTAAATAATTAAGAAAATCTCTGTTAGATAACTAATTAGTCTATGATTTATTTGATAATTCCACATCGGGAGAAGAAGGAAAAAAATGAATTGTTTTAGTCATATAAAGTGAAACTTATACTCTTATATTGTAATATTGTTCATATTTCAATTTAATATAATTTAAATTTTAAAAGTTTTAATTAATTAAATTTTGTATAAGTTGATTGGTCTTTTGACCTAACCGATTAGGCTAAATCATTTTTAATTTGACTAATTTGTTGGTTTAATCGCGATTTTAGCAATTTCATCAAAATATATTGATTAAATTTATTTGATTCAAAATAAATTCAAAATTGATCTGATTAAAGACTGAACGATTGAGATTGCTTAATTAGAAATAAACTTTCCGTTTAAATAATTGCTAACTTTTATTTTATAATCTCACATTGAAAAAACAAGGAAAAAGTGAGTTGTTTTACTTATATAAAATGAATCTTAATATTGTGGTGTTATGCATGCTTCAATTCAAGCCAGTTTAAATTTTAAAATTAAAATAACATTTAAAAGTTTTAATTAATTAATTTTTGTATAAGCTGGTTGGACATTTGACCTAATCAATTAGGCTGAACCGTTTTCAGTGACGAGTATTGTGAAAGTTTCAATATCTCATACTAATTTTCTTAATTTTAAACAATTAAGAAAATTTCCATTAGCTAGCTAATTAGTCTATGATTTATTTGATAATCTCACATCGAAAGAATAAGGAAAAAGTCAATTGTTTTACTCATATAAAATGAATCTTATACTCCCATTAATATTGTAGTGTTGTGCATGTTTCAATTTAATATAATTTAAATTTTAAAATAAAATTTATAAGTTTTAATTAATTAATTTTTGTGTAAGTTGATTAGTCATTTGACTTAATTGATTAAGCTGAATCATTTTTTATTTGACAGATTCGTTAGTTTAACCGCAATTTTAGCAATTTTATCAAAATATATTGATTAGATTTGTTTGATTCAAAATAAACTAAAGATTGATCTAATTAAAGATTGAACAACTGAAATTACTTGATTAGAAATAAATTTTCTGTCAAAATAATTGTTAACTTTTATTTTGGGGTAAATTACAAATATACCTCCTGAAGTTTGCTTAAAATACAGATTGTCCATTGTGATTTGAAAAATTACAAACACCCTCTTGTTAAAATTTTTTATTTAACAAAATTAACTAAAAAAATAAAATTCATAAAAACTCTCTAATACAATAATAAAATTATCTAAATTGTTAATTAAAACATATTTCTAACATCATTAAAAACTGTTAATTGATTTGATGATATATCAATAAAATGGGCGATTTGTTATGAAATTAGAAATTTCATGGGTGAAATGTAATTTTCAGAATTACAGGGAGCAATTTGTATTTTAATCAAATCTCAGATGGTGTATTTGTAATTTACCCATTATTTTATAATCTCACATCGGAAAAAGAAAAAAAAAAGTGAATTGCTTTACTTATATAAAGTGAACATTAATATTGTAATGTTATGCATACTTCAGTTCAAGACAATTTAAATTTTAAAATTAAAACAACATTTAAAAGTTTTAATTAATTAATTTTTATATAAGTTGATTGGTTTTTTGACCTAGCCAATTAGACTAGGGATTGTTTGGGATGGTCTAAATAAGTGCACTTTTTTTACTTTTTATGAAATATGGATTGAATTTGAAGTGGTGTGGTAAAGAGGTGATGTGATTTAAATAAGATGATGTAACTTAAATAGGATAGTGACTTTTTGACTTTTTGACTTTTTCGTGTTATTTTTTTTTTTATTCATAAGAAATTGACAACAAACAAACAGAGAAACTAGGCAAAGCTGCCTTACACAGTAGAAGAGGAAGAAGAGGCCCCAATGATGTCTGCAACAAGCAGATTTGCAATCTTAGTGGGGGGATCATTAAGAAACACCAAAAGGCTCTGGTGATTCACACCCAAATTTGCCAAACCATCCGCACTCTTGTTACCCTCTCTGCGTATATGAGCGATTGTGCAGTTGCATCGTTGCATTAGAAATTTGGCATCTTCAAGCAGAGCCCTGTGCTGAAAGTGCTGAGATGATGAATCCTTGATGAGTTTAACAACTTGTTCTGAGTCTGTTTCAATGCATATATCCTTAATTCCCTTCTTAAGCATTATGGTGAGGCCTCGGTATATTGCCCAGAGCTCAGTCTCCATGCTAGTTGCTTCCTCTAGTTTTCCATGATATCCATGAAGCCAAGCTCCTCTTTCATCCCTGAAAAGGCCTCCATACCCAGCTGGCACCGGATTGCCTTTGGAGCATCCATCAGTGTTGAGTTTAATTTTCCCTGCAAAAGGCAACACCTAATTAGTTTAATTTTCCCTGTATAAGAACACAATACCCCAAGGTATGTGGTAGATCTTTCTGTCCTGATTCTTTAGATTCAGTTGTAGCCATTGATCCAACGATTGTCCCTGACAGTCCTCTAACCATCTGGACCCTCTTATAAGATTCCGAATAACCTTCGCTTTGGGACACTCACGGAGAAGGTGGTGAAGGTTTTCAACATTTAAATTGCATCTGGCTCAGCGATCATCAGTAGTTAAACCTCTGATGCATTGTTGTTGATTTGTTAACAAGCGCCCGTTGAAAAGGAGCCAGCAAAAGCCTTTTAATTTCTGGTGTATTTTCAGTTTCCAGATCCAATGCCACTCCACCATGCTTGTGCTCTCAGCAGAGTTCGTTAACAGGTTATAGGCTGCACTAACAGAGAAGTTGCCAGATGTTGCTCCTTTCCAATGTGGGGTGTCAGTCACTGTGACAAATTGCGCTAGGTGGATTTGCAGGATACTTTGAAGGACTGACTGTGGAATAAAATCTGCGATTTCTTCAACCTTCTAAGAGCCATCCTCCTGTATGATATCAACTACCTTCATGTTGGGCAAAGGGAGAGCTCCAGTGCATTGTTCTGCAATAGTGCCTTGTCCCACCAATAGTCATGCCAGAGTGATATGCTTTTACCATCACCTACTGTCCATCGAACTCTCTTCCTGAGAAGCTCTCTAGTCTTGATGATACTTTGCCAAGTATGAGAGGTAGCTCGAGTAATGGGCCAGTCAGATAGAGCATTTTCCATCCCAGTTATGCTAAACTTAGCCTAAACCTTTTTCAATTTGACTGTCGCTGGTTTAACCGCAATCTTAGCGATTTTATCAAAATATATTAATTAGATTTATCTGATTCGAAATAAATTAAAAATTGACATAATTAAAGGTTACATAACTGATATTGTTTGATTCGAAATAAATTTCACGCCGGAACAATTTTTAAATTTTATTTTACATAATCCCACATCGAAAAGAATAAAAAAAAAGTAATAAAGTAAACATATGCTTCCATTTAATATTATAATATTGTGCATATTCCATTTGAAAACAATTTAAATTTTAAAATAAAATAAAATTTAAAAGTTTTAATTAATTAATTATTGTGTAAATTGATTGGCCTTTTGAGTGATTTTAACAATTTTATCAATATATATATGTATGTCTATTATTTTATTTCTAAAAAGTATATCTAAATTTTATGACAAGCTTTAATATAGAACAAACTAAAACTAAAAAATTTATAAAATCGTAAATGTAATTTTTTTTTTATAATTTATTCTATTTTTTTCATCCTTACCAATTATTTTTATTTTATGACATCTATTTTTTATTATGAACTTAAAGTATACAATTAATAACATAACAACCACAATATATATATATTCTCTAATAAAATGGTTAAAATTTAATTTATTCTAAATTATTTTTCTCTACTTTTTAAATAAATTTTATATTATTATTTAATTTTAAAATTATTTTTAATTATTTATTTACCGCGTCCACACAGGTTCATATGCTAGTTTCAATAAACCAAATACTACCACAAAAGATGAAACAAAATAATGAAATAAATGCAGTCATATATATCATTCCTCCCTTAAAAAAAGAAGGCTGTGCATTTGCTTTCCACAGCATGAGAGAATCCCATTTGAAAGATTTATACAATAATTAAGCCCAATAAAGTTCCACTATTGAACTATCATTCATTTCTTATCCGATTGCTTCGACATCCTAATCTAAAATCTTAATTCGAATTAAGATCTTGACTGGCATGTACGGTATAATTTTTAATCACTTTTTCTATCTCTTTTCTCTTCTCAGATCTTACACATCAATCAATCATTTTTTTTCTTACACCCATCTATTCAACTACAAAAAAATAATAAATAAATAAATGAACTACAAATCATCCCAAACTACAAACTCCAACTACAAAATTACAAAATTATTTTCAAAATATACAACCAAATAAATTTTCAAAATTTGAAAACTTTTTTCAAAAACTTTTACCTTTCAAAATTGATTTTAAAACTAAACCAAACATAGCCCAAAAGTAAGAAACCAAGAAAACATCATCGAAACTTGGCTACTTTGAAACATCCATAAGAAGAGTAGACAGTTGCAAATCTTTATCGCTCATCTTCTGGATATGATAATGGAAGACTCATCTTGACCGCGAAGAAGCAAAATGGTGCTTGTGCTATGCAATTACTTACTTGGACTTGCAGCGGAAGTCGTGCCTACTCCTGGCGTCATCATCTGAGGCTTTGTGTTCTTCTGGTGTTGTTGATTTGTTAACAAGCGGAATTCCGACTGCTGATGTCATCATCAGAGGTTTAGTGTTCTGGACTGCTAACCAAATCATCACGTGCATTGTCAAATGAATCACGAACAGTAAAGAAGTGATCGTAGTCCTCTGTCGGCTTATAATCCTTTCCCCTCCATACCACAACCTGTTCCTTGTCACATGTCACCAGGACACAAGGCACCAAGTCCTGCGTGAAAATTGTAAGAAAGAAAGAATTAGAACATACAGGTGTGATCAACAGTGTCAAAGGCGAAACCAAAATAAGTTTAGAAAAGGATCAGTCTATAAGTAGATTGGTAAAACACTTTTCCATTCACTAAGGTATTAGAAATTCAGTAGCAGCAATGCATGGAACAACTGAAACTGCCACCAAAGTCAATTTACATCCACCAAAACATAGCAGAGAGCAACTTTAATTGGATTGCATGAATGCTAAATTTAAGTTTACTGAGAATATGTTTAGGATAAGATGGGACATTGCTGTCAAAAATTTTTTTTCAATTTTCCTTTTCCTTTTTTCTTTCCCTCCACGAATCCCCACTCAAAATATTTGATCCAAACACAACTCAAATGGGAATATGTTTAGGATAAGATGGGAGATACACATTCCAAATTCAATCACCAATGACCATAACCGTAGGCCAGTAGGAATAGATATGAATCAAGAGGAAGAAGCTACAAGCACAAGAAGATAGCCAACAGAGAAGTAGAGGTGGTGAAAACGAGATAGTGAGCCATGACTTAGCTCATGATATGGCCCCCCATATGTGCTGAATAGCAAAACGAAATTCATTTAGCCAACATGGGGTTGTTGGAATGTCATGCTTTACAACTGTTGCATACAATAAATCTGTTGGAGCTCACAACACTGCAAATGTTCCCAGCTTATGTGTTAACCGTGTATTTTACTTCTTGAAGTTATTAAATTCCGCAAATTAGATATTCACAACTAATCATCTAACATTACTAATGGTTTTCTTATGTAAAATAAAAATAAAATAAAATTATAATCATTAATTTATCAGCAATATAACTTGTTTCTCTTTCTAGTTGAGGTTAGAGAAGGAAGGCTGTGTTTTTTCAGTCCGGAAAAGGGTGGGGTGTTAGGTAATTTAACTCAGGTCATAAAACAACAGTCACTCGTACTTGGGGTTACTTGGGGGATTTAGTCATAGAAATTATGGTTGCGTTTGGTAGAGTTTTGTAACTATGATTTGAGAGTATGAGTTGTATTTTGAGTTTGAGTTTTGGAATTATGATTTGAGTGTAGAAAATTTGTTTGGTGAAAGAGTTTTGAATTGAATGGAGAATTTTTGATGTGGCATTTGATATTTAATACAAAAACTTACAACTCATAACCAAACATAAAACTCAAAATTCTATTAAAGCACATAAAAATTTTTAAAAAATTCGAAAAATATTTTTTTCGAATATATAAAAATTAACATATCAATTGCAAAAAAAAAAAAAAAAAATTTGCAGTGTTTCGGTCAACCGGCCGGACGGCCGGTGGGACGACCGGTTAGGCCAAATTTTGATTTTTTTTTTTGAAAATCGCGCTCTCAAACAGAGTTTTCTGCAGAGTTGTAGAAAATTAATTCCACAACTCTATCCAAACATCATATTCATGTGTGAGAGTAGAAAACTCGTTCCAAACAGAGCCTATATTTGCTTTTAATAGACTCAAACACAAGACCACCTTTGTAAATTCAAAATTTCAGCATAATTCTTCATACAAAGTCATAATTATCAGTAAGTAGCAGTACGTCATCTGTTCAGCTTACAGGTATGTCGAACGTATGTGTAAGCATTTTCATATAAGATTACAAACAAAAAAGAAAAAAAAAAAACAGAATCTCACATCTGACCCTTCCTGAACCTTGCAATGGAAAAACACATTCATGTGACCAATGTCGAGCAGTTGAATTAAGACTTAAATCTGACCCTCCCTAGACCTCACAATGGCGGGAGCCTCATGCAGTGGGACTGCCTGTTTTTAAGCTCTCGCTATGTCTATTCAATTATATAAAGCACAACTTATTCGGTTGGAGCTTAGTCATGCAATTTTGATTTTCAAAAAAAATTAATAGCAACAACATAATTTCCCCAACTATTACCTTTGCCTAGCAATTACTATTAAGGACCAAAAATAAAATCAACAAATCAAAAACCATATGTTCAGTTACCCACGCATCCCATGGAGCCAGACGCTAGTAATATCTATACATATATATATATATGCATGTTTTCTTTGCCTTTCCTTTTTATATTTTAAATACAAATGTCTATTCGTCCCCCCAAACACCAGCCAACAGTGCACTTATGCGGGCAATTTGCAACAAGCATGCAACAAATTACTAAGAAGAACAAAAGATAGCAGATTTTGTATTGATAGTTACAAGACAACTACCACAAGGTAAGATTAATCAAAAGCTAAAGTTTTACCCTCAGTTTGCAGCCTAGTTTCTTGTAGTCACTCTTTTCAAGGCCTTGGCAATCTATCCGAACCAACTCACCGGCAAGAAAAGCATCTCGAACCATAGGTACAAGACTACCATAATAACCATTTTTAGCTGCATTTGAAACTGATGTGTTAGAAACCATACAAAGTGACAGTATTGGAGGCCCACATATCTGTGTAAAGGCCTGGAGCATCTCTTATCAGCCAAAAAAGTTTTCAGCCATGCTGGCCCTATGTTAACTTCGAAGGGGCAGAAGAAGGTGGAAAGAGGGAAAGCAGGGAGTTGATAGAAGAAAGTAAAGTAATAAGCAAAGCTGGAAGGGTAGAGGGAAACTCTGGCATATTTCTCTCCATAGGTAGTGGGGTCTTGCACTAGGAATTTTAAACATCTAGAATGCAAGTCAGTAAAGTATGCAAAAAGCCAGACTTGATTAATGTCCAAAGGTTTCTCACAAAATTGGGAGCAGGCCCTATAAACATGGCCTAGAACATAAGGAGTTAAGGCTATCTTCTTCTTCAAAGCAAGAGCCTTGGCAAGAGGAGCAAACTCAGGCATAATCCTCTGAGATGAAGTACAAAAAATGAATTTGCAAAGCCAATATAAAAAAAAAGAAAAGAACTCTCGGTCGGTCACAAGACCTTCCCTCTTGTTTTTAGTTTTTACAAAATCATTGAAGAAAGAGTTCAAAAATGGAATGATGAAGCTGACCGGAGGGTTTAGGTAATCAGGGGTGAAGGGATTGCCAATTGGTGAGAGCCCCAGGAAATGGCAGATATCAAGGACAATAGGAGCCATCAAGCCACACCGGAATTGGAAAAAATTAAAAGATGAATTCCAAAAGCAAAGGGCAGCAGGAAGGGCATCGAGGATGCAGAGCTCTTATAGGTCCCATTCTCTGGCAGAAACAACTCTGTCGTACCATTCCTCCCATTCTGTCCTCAATGTAGGCCAGCAGCAATGAGGTTGGTTCATCCTCCAGCCTCCCCAGTCAAGATTCCCATCGTAAAGGAGTTGGTGATCCTCCAAGCAAGGGTACAGAGTAGGAAGCTGGGCAAGGGCTTCTCTGAAGATAGGTCCGAGGATGTATTCCCCTTGAGCATGGTGACGGGGGACGAAGATGCGCCTATCAATGGCACTTGGTTCACCAGCTTTGTATTTGTCAATCTCTTCATTGAGACACCTCCTCAAAGCCATAGACGAGCTCATATGCTCAATAACTGGTACTTTTGAGGAAGAAGAAGCCATTTAGTGAGAGGTTGGTGTAAAGAGTGAATTTGAGAAGGGTAAGAGCTAGAAGTCAACAGCAATGAGAGTGAAAGGGAAATATTGGACAAGTGAATATGAAAGATCGCGAGAAATTGGGGTTTTAAACCTTTCTTTCCAAAATTACCCATTCAACCTAACGGGTCAAGTAGACCCAAATCAATCAATTGATTATTTTGACCTGTGTGGGATTAGGGCCTTTATTTTAAAACAAAAAGGGGTCCTGAAAACACAAGAAGGAAAGTTTCTTTCAAGAGCAACATTTTGGGAGGGAAATACATTTCAAATACTCAACTTGGCTTCAAAAACAGGTAGTTGGCTTCGACGAAGCCAGTTTTATACCTTAAACTCAAGTATAGTTGAGGTTTGTTTACTTCGAAGGTTTTGAGGGTATGCTCTTAGGCTTTCCATAAAAGGCAATTTCCTTCAAAGGAGTCTTTGTAGTATTCTGTGATTAGAATATGGTTCTTGCCTGATTTTTTGAATTCAAAATAAGTAAGTACTATGAAGCTAGTACTTGGTTAAGCAACGTGGAAATTTCAAAGACCAAAGGACTTACCCATACATGAAAGTACTTTCTTGAACTTTTTGTTAAAACAAATCCCTTCGAAGACAAATATTGTCATTTGTCACTTTAAATAGAAACTCCATGCTTCGAGACACGTAGACCAGGCTTCGAAACAAGATTGGTTACTTCGAAACTACTACTCATAGATTATGTGAACAAAGTGAGGGATAAGGTCATATTAACCATACAATTGGAATATGAAAAACCCAATTTTATTAATATAAATACTTACATTGGGAGGGCCTATTTGGCTACATTCTCAATCTCATAAAAGTAAGGAATGGACAAAGTTACAAGGTCATGAAATTTTGTCCAGCAAAACTCAATAAATACATATTTCTTTTCCAGCCTTTCTTCTATCCTAACCAAGTTTGGTTTGTCTAATTGATGAGCCCTTATTTAGAAGAAGAGTTGTTAGGCCTTCATTTCAAACATTGTTTGCTTAAGAGCTCTCTCCACTTCATCCATCTCTCCCCTCCCATGCGTATCACGCATGTTGACATCTTCTCCATACTCTGAATCCTGGTTCTTGAAGTCCTCATACTCTTCAAGAAGATTCTCAATCTTGTACTGGGTTTGAATGCGAACAGAGAGATCTCCTCTAGGGATTCACTGCTAGCAGAAGCATTTTTGTGCCAGTTGAGCAGTGAAGGGAGCTGATCCAGGAAAGTGTGAAGCTTTGCCTGGGCCACAGGGTTGAGAATGTGGCTTCGAGAGACAATATCACAAGCCCATGAAAGGTTCTTGTGAGGAATGTCATCTCGAAGGACCTCGAAGGATAAGTGAGAGAAAGCAACAAGCAGAGTCTGGGCTCTATACTGCTGATAAGCAGTTTGAGGAACTGAAGCCTGGTTGGGAGCAAAATGCTGGCTTTCGAAGAGGGTGAGTTTTAAT